ATATGAAACATTATTTTCTTTAAACTATATTCAAAATGTAAATCCTAGTACGAACCAAGTGACTTCCGTGATAAATAAATTATTGTTATTCCTTGAAGACTTAAGTTCGAGCATTATAAATATTTCGATATTGTCTTGTATTTACCCGAATTAATAAAAAAAATGTAAAGTAAGATTGATTGAGTCTTTCTTACTCATCTTTTCGAATTCAAAAACTTATGAGCTTAATTAATGAATTTAATACTACACCGCCGTTGTTATGGGGTGTTGTGAAACACACAGTTGAAGTTGAGTAAATTTTGGAACTTTGAAAATTCTTCTCAAATTTAGGGAAATAATTCAACTAACTTGAAAATTAAAAAGAAAAAAAGTCACAACAATAGTGGAAAATTTTCCTTTTCTTATTAACCCAAAGACTTTTTATTAGGATTAGGGGTCACATTTGTCCATGTAGCATACCTAATTTATCATTTTTACCCATATCATATTTTCGCATCAATTTAATCTTTAAAGTTGTTGAATTGCATCATTTTATATTTTATCTCTAACTTAAAACCCTAAATTATAAACCTTAAGTTAGGGTTTGAGGTTTAGGGTTTAGAGGTTATGGGGTTATGGTTTAGGGTTTAATTTTATAATTAGGGTTTTAAGTTAAAGGTAATGTATAGAATAATGCAATTGAGTAATTTCAAGGGCTAAATTGATGCGAAAATACGATAGGGACGAAAATGATAAATTAATTCTACTATAGAGGCAAAGGTGAGCCTTTTGCCTTTTTTTTATAACCACCAGTCGATCTATTGATCAATTAATCTGGATCGGGTATTGCAGAGGCAAAAACGATCATTCCAACCCAATTTGCTCCATTCGCAATCGTCAGGATTCGAACCACTGACCTTGCTTAAGAGATCTAGTGCCTCATATCACTAAATCAATCGGTTGTTAATAGAAAATCGTATAAGACTATTTGACTAATAACTAAGATATTAATAATAATTATATAAGAAGTGAAAATAATTTATAAGATTTTGAAACGTGTGAAACTTACATCATATTATTTTATTTCCTCTTTCAAACTACTAATCTAATAATCGGGACCCAAAAATTATAAATGTGTTCATAATATTACTAAAGTACTAAATTACTTGGTGTTGTTCCGTTTACGGGTTTGAGCACTATGAATGTTAAGGGTTTGAACGTTCAATGTTAAATGATCAAGAATTATCTTTAAACAAATATTATCTTATAATTGATAAAAAATTAGTAAAACTAGTATTTTTTTAATATTAAGGAAGGGAAAAGGATTGGTTATAATTAAATTTAGAATTTAATGTAAGTAATAATAATAATTTATTACACGATCAACTTACCTCAGTGGTTAAAAGAATCGTTATTGTTTCTAGAGGTTACGGGTTCGAGCACCAACAACTGTAACAGGGTGATTGAGCGTTCATTGTCAAATGATTGAGAGTATTTAGAACATATACTACATTGTAATCACGTTAACTTACTCAAAAAAATTATTAATTATTTTATTATTAATTAAAAGTTATAAAGTTAATAGATGTTTAAAAAATTGAAAAAGGACTAATGTTAAATTATTAAAACCAAGTAGACTGGGTCCAAAGATTGAAAAATCCAGCAGAAGAGTCAAAACGTAACAATAAATAAGTGTAATTAAGACCCACCATCAATTCATGAGTACAATTAAGTCCCAATTGCCAATTTTTGTTTACACTGGGAAAGCATTGAAAGCAACCCTTTGCATTCGTGTCTTATAATTTGTTTTTATTAATATGGGTAAGTAGAAGGCTTTATCTGTTCAAAGATAATTCGTGATCTCTCGATATTGAACGCTCACATACCTGACATTTATGGTGCTCAAACTCGGATTTCTCTAGGAATAACAACAATTCCTTTACCACAGAGACATTTTATTCGTGATCCTTCGTGTCTTATAAATTCTAATATTTTATGTGAAGAAAAAATAAATAAATTTGTATGAAATGAAATAAGCATGGATTATGTATGTATCAGGTAAAGATTGGGTTACCAACCATTACAATTTTCTCCATTTTTCCTCTCCTAAATTTTGAGTTTTTGTCAAAATCTAAAATTATTAAAATAATATAAAAATAACATGAAAATAATCCTATTAAAAAGTTGTTTTTAATTAATATGGAGTAAATATAAGATAATATATTATTTTGAAAATTTCTCGGTTAAATTACACATGTCACGTTCTAATAGTTTTGAAAAATTAATTAAAAAATAAAATATTATTATATTTATAAAAATCCTAAAAATTACAAAAATCCCATCAAAATCCTAAATCCCTAAATCTAACCCGTTGATGTTATCCTTGTCGGCCATGATCACTGATGAACTCCCTACCATCTTTTGAGTCATATGTCGTTATACTTGTCGTTGATTAGTCGTCGGGATCGCGTGGGGTCACGATTTACTCTATGGGATTCGCGGGGTACAAACGTTGATTGATTGCGACTTCATAGGGTTATCGATTGTCGAAGGGAGGTGAGGTCGGGTGAAGCTTTGTCGTCGACAAAGGGCAACAACCGACATAGATTTAAGGGTTAAAAATGAAGATTTTCAAAGTAGTGACATTTAAAACATTAAATACTTGAATGATTCAAAAATATTGAGTGTTTGTTTGAGAAATACAATATAGTTTGGGCAATTATTTTATAACTATGCCTTTAAATTAAAATATGGGAAAATTCTTTTCTTTTTCCTTTAATGTTTGAAAAGACAATTCACAGTTGAGATTTCTACTTTGGATGCCAAAGTAGAATCAGAGAATGGTAGACAAAGGGTAATTATTTGATGCTAAGGTTAAGAAAAAAGTGGGATTAAAAGGGGAAGAAATTCGTATAAAGGAAAAGAAAAATTCTATACCGTTTGACACAAACACTGCTTAGTACCATTAATAATGAGAATTATTAAATATTATTAATTTAATTTATAAAAATTTAAAATTTTAAAAGACTCAACGTATAAGTATAATTTAGTTACAAATTTAAAGATAAATTAGTTAAACAAGCAAAAAAATATTTAAGATTTTTTAATTTATGAGTTGATATTTGATCCAATTATTTTTAAAAAATTATAAAAAATAATAATATTTTATTTTAAATAATTTATAAATTAAATTAATAATATTTAACGGTAATATAATAATGTTCATCCAAAGGGAAAAAGGTCTTTTGATAATTGAATCAGCTTTATGTTGAGATGCGTATCATTTTCTTTAGAAAATTTGGTATCAACGTATTCGTAACCATCACGTTTCTTCCTTTTTTTAGAATAATCAAGTGCGTTAATTTTTTTTTAAAAATTTCAAGTGAGTTAAAATTTATATGTAAAGAATAAGCATCTTTATTTAAATTTAGGATAAAGAACGCAGATGATCTTCGATTATAGAATATTATTTTATCAAGTCTTTTGATAATTAAAAATTATATAATGATCTTTTGACTTTAGAGTGTGATTTTGTCTAATCCCGACTATTAAAAATTACAAAATGATCATCTAACTATTTAATATGTTCTAAACTTATCATTTTTCGTAAAAAAATTGACAATATTTTAAGTTAAATATTAACCGTTAATTATTTAATATTAAAACATAATGAATAGTCAAATGACAATTTTATAACTTTTAATACTCGATATATTTAACAAAACATTACTCTATAATCGAGACCATTTATATCCTTAAATTTATGTTTATTTTTATTAATTAACGTTTGCATTTTATTTTTCTATAAATCTAAAAAATTCGAAAACATGGGCTATGAAATAGTATTACTCAAATAACCCCGGTCCACGTATATAAGATGAGATATTTTATGATTAAAGTTGTGATGACGTGGATAACAACTTTGATGTTCGTCCACTAATATGAGTAATTTTTTTTAAAAATATAAAAGTTTCATTATAATGAAAAAATAATTTATATAATAATTAAATTTTAAAAATATTATTTAATCTATTTTAATCATAGATTTGAAAACTATGTTTTTGATTCTTCAATCTAATCAACATTTTTATCAACGATCGTCGATCACAGTCAAATTGATGTTATTTACAATCAATCGACAATCACCACCAACCTTAAACAAAGATGATAATATTTTATAGGGTAAATTACACATTTAGTACATACTTTTAATCTTTTTAAAATCATACCAAAAAGTTTAATTTTTATTTTATTTTAATAATTTTTTTTTATTTCATTTTAATACCCATTTAAAATAAACCATTAAATTTTGAAAATATTAAAATCTAGATACTAAAAGATACCACAAGTGATATTTTAAATACTAACAATATGATACTAAAATTAAACAAAACTTAAACTTTAAATATAATTTTGAAAAAATTTGAAAGATTAAATACTAAAACATGCCAAAATTAATAGTTTAGATACTAAACACATAATTCACCGACTTTATAAAGGGTAAAAAATTGCATTTTTGTCATTGAATTATTCTAAATTGCATTTTTGTCCTTCAATTGAAAATAGATAAATTGACCCATCTACACTTCAAAACAAATAAAATGATTCCTCTATTAAAAATCCCACCCATTTTAACAAATAAGTCGGTCCATGTACATCTCAAAACAAGAAAAACAATTCTTTTAGTAAAAATCTCATGATGTAATAATTATAAAAAATATAACACAATAATGTTTATAATTCTTTTTATTTAATAAAATAACAAAATTGTGAGGAGAAAACTGTTTTAGTAGAGAATTTCTTGGTTGTTATATATTGACCAGAGAGGCAAACAAACAGTGAGATGCATCATTAAAACAAGGCATAATGTAAAAATAACCCACGACATTTTTTTTAGGGCAAAAAACCCCTTAACATTTGATTGAATAATCACTTTGTCCCTTATTTTTTATAGGACATTTTAGCCCTCAACGTTTCATTTTAAGTTAAAAAAGCTCTTATTTTGGAGTGTTAATCGTATGTTAACTAATGTTTTTCATTGATAGAGGGAGCTTTTTACCCCCAAAGTGAAACGATGGGGCCAAAATGCTAAAAAAGAATAGGGGCCAAAATGATCATTTTAGTAAATGTTGGGGGATATTTTTGGTATTATGCCTTAAAACATCAAAAGAAAAAAGGAATGGAAAACTGAAGTTGAGAAAGGAGAATTAAGAAGGAACACACTTGTTACTTGCCATTGGTATGAGCAGCATTCTTATGGAAAGGCCAAAGATTCACCAGTCGCTCGAGCACCGATGCACTTTTGGAGAAATAACCCGAAAATCCGGCAGGAACTGACGGAGGTGGGAAGTCTTCGGCCGGCATTGCAAACGGGCGAATCATCTTCTCCATTTTCTCTAACGTGAGATAGGATCCAAGTTCTTGCAGCCTTTCCGGACCATTTATCGGCAACGTATGCTCTTGGGGAAGTGAAGCAGCCTTGCTATCATTCATCTGTCAATGCAAATTGCATTAGCTTAGTTTTGTTTCATGCAGCCAGCCAACAAGCAAAAAAACATTTTATATCCCATGAAATCGAAAAATATTCGAATTAACTTCAGATTCTGATCATTTCTCGTTGTGAATTTGACAGTATTACCTCCAACGGGGATAAATCTGCACCGCGGCTAAATGTCAACTCGATGCGGAACCTTTTCGGGTCTTCTAATGCTACCTGTAATTTCAATTTCAGACAAACCATAAGCTCAGTATAACTCCTCTGCTTACCATGATTGCTTATGGAAGCATAGGCTTATTGACTTCCTAATCTGGACCTACAGACCTATGTCACTCAGACTCATGAACGAGTATCAGATACAGTATGTATCGAACACGTATATAATCGATTATGTAATAAAATACGGCACATACATCTGTATTCTCGAACAACCGTATCACGATGTAACTCATGTAGTCAAGCTCCTTGGTTTTATATAAACGCTCTAAAGCACTCTGGCAGATGAGACTATCTTCTCCCTGAAGAGATTCATCCAGGTTACAGTAACGAAGTACATTCATGAGCGAATGGATATGAGATTCCTGTTAAACAAATCAGAGCCATAGGAAAATCGTTGTAAGTACATACAGAAAATTCGGGAACTCGTGTCTGTCGGGTCGATGAAAAAGGCCTATTATTAAATAACAATTGAACTATCACGATTTGCACTTACTGATGTGAAGTAAAGGCGTGTTCGCACATGGCGCTCTGGTGTCTTCACATTTGCATACCTGAAAGAAAAAATATAGAAATATAAGAAGATACCACTGTAGAGAACAATAATACGAGTTAAAAGGTTTTATATACCGACTTCGGGTCCAAACGGTATTTGGTTTCTTTATCATCGTCATCATCTGGATCTATTGAAATTTCACTTGCTGTGCTAGATAGTCTTGTGTCATCAGCATTGATGAAGAACTTTGGTGGGGACTCTTTATCATCATTTTCGGTCTTTGTCGATTTTGAGCACTTGTCTTGATTGCTCTTTAACTCGGCAACATTGAGGGCTTCTTCACGAGTATTCCTCAGATCGATCAAAATTTTACCCAACAAACGGCGCGCAATCTGACAGAACAGAACAAAAATTAGGGAAACATTAGAAGTTCATTTGCATTTATGAAGGTTGCAAATGCACATTGTTAAAAGGGGAATCAATAGGAACATTTTATAAATAACATAAACGTATGAAAGTATAATCTTGTTCCGGAATCTTTCTAATTGAAAAAGACGTGCAGAAAATAATCACCTTTGAACCAATTTTTAGTTTTTGCTTCGGATTAATTCCATATTCATTTGGGATGACGCCATCTGCAAGAAGCTGCAACAACATGCAGACCAGTCAGACGTTAGGATAAAACGCAATGTTCTATAAGAAACCTAAGCCAAATGAAAGAACATTAAGATGTAGTCATCAAAAGAAGCAACTATGATCATGTAGACAAAGAAGTCAAAGTACATAGACAAGTACGGCCGGATAAGACTAAATAGAAAAGAACGGCTAATACAGTGATTATAAGAGATCAACAGCAATTTCTCTATGGTGGTAAGATGTTTGTACCTGGGCAACTTTGAAGAGCTTATCTATACCTTTCAAATTAAGATGAGCATTGTGCAGAAGATCATATCTGTTGGAAAGTAAGTCAATCAAACATACAAAATTTCTCAGAAAGAAACGAAGCATTTAACCTTTTAAAGCCAATGACTTTCTATATTTATGAACGTTCCAAAGATTCATAATCAAGACGGAACAACTTGCTTGAATTTTGGGAGATATGCATGACAGATTTATCCAAATATCAAGTGCCATGTTGTGCAGTGCATTTGTTACATTACAGCAAGATGCATCTGCAACCTCCTCATCACTCCAGACCCTAAATTTTAATGTGCAGCAACCTCCTTAAGAGAAGCAAATGTTCAACCCTATACCCAATACCAAGGTGATATGAAACACTAGGCCACTCGATCTGTCTACACCATCATTGATGGTTCGTTTCCAAGATCCAAAGAAGGTTCACTTCAACTATAATGTCTGGTGCTTGAATGCAATTAAAACCGGGACGAAAGGACATTTACACACGCTTTCTGAACTAGTTTTGGTTGTGCATATAGTGCCTACTTTCTGGCAAACAAATTTCTAATAGAATTAAAATATATACTCACTTGCAAGAGTCATAAACATCAGGAATTTGAGTGATGTCAAAGCGTCTGCAGGAAAGTCCATTGTCAGTAAAACCAATAATGCTAAAATAACATCTTGGGCAAGAATCACACTTTCAAGACGTCAAATGGAGAATTATATATAGTTTAAGAATGGATAATGCTCTTCATACAATGCACATGAAAGACAATATAACACAACTGGCAGAATATTCAGAGACCTGATGCAGAAGTATAGTGAAGAACAAACCATAGATAGTTACCCTTTACGTTCATTATACAAATCTCTTTCAAGTTTTCTCCATCGAGCATACATTAAGAGGAATCCCTCACTGCCACAAGGCAATCCAGCAGCAATACGATCAATGTCAATATTTGTCTTGCCAAGAGCTTTTGCTTGGTCATATGGAGGAATCACATCATATGGGCTTGCTTCTGTAAGAGTCTCATCTTCATCCATGGCAAGCAGTCTGACTTGTTCAGTAACCTTCTTAGTCAAGGTTACCTGGTATACAAGGGGTTCAAAATGAAAAAAGGGATAACACAAAATTGGAAATAGTTACAATAAAATTTTGTGTTGCATATTCTCGTGGTAACAAAGGGAGTGAGGGAGTGAGGGAGTGACTACAGTGTTGCATATTCACTCGTATGATGAAATTACCAGTTTGGGAAGGAGCTCAGAAGCATTAGAAGGCAATCCAGCTCCGTCAGTCATCCAAGGACCTTTAGATGTTCCATTACTATGATTTTTCCTCACACCAGTACTTATAACTTCATTCAGCCTAGCCTGCAAAATATAGAGAAATCTTAAAAAAAACACTCAAAAATGTGAAGGAACGATTTTACCTTGAATGATTTATCCTTATACCCTATCCTAGGTGGAGGATCGGGGAGGTAACTTGTGGAATAGATGGAGAACAAGGTTGTAGAAGACAATAACTAATGACTGTACAACTAAATAATATGTCCACAGAAATATAAACCCATTGTGAAACAGACACCTAGAGCTTAACATTTAGATTGTTCTCAAACACTATATCAAAGTCTCTTTAGTCAATTGACCCAATGTTTCAATAATGCCCACTTATTCAGGTAATTGATAGATAGACCCAGAGTTTCAATAATGCCCACTTATTCAGGTAATTGACCCAGAGTTTCATTTGGACCCATGAGCTAACTTATTTGATTTTCCAGAATATATCCAGGTTACTCAAGATCATAAATAAGCATTTTACAGGTGCTCTCCTCATGGCCCAATTAAATAATCAAGTTATGCAGAAGAGTACCTTTCGTAGTTAAAACTTCATAATTCATACCAATGGATAGATAACTTAAATCACTGACCAAACCAAGAACCCTAGTTTAATGTCATATGATACACACACAAAAATGCTTGCAAAATTTAGGGAAAGAAGGGCTATAAACCTTGGCTTCTTCCATCTCAGTGCTGGCATTGTCAAGTCCGTCCAACATAGAGGAATCCTTGCTAACAAGGGAGACCTAAAAAGAAGACCAACTCAATCATGCAAATTCAATATTAAAAGCAGGAATGCACTCATTAAGGGAACATGACATACCAGGATCGGTGTTAGTTGCCCTTCAAGGTCAAGCAGGCCTTTAGCAAAAGCAGCTGCAGACATCTGTTAAAATGATTTAATTTACAGACCTATTAATGATGCTAACGGCAATGACAAGTTTATAGCAACTTAGTTCAGAAGTGGCACAAATAGGAAAAGATCAAAATATATACTGATTCATCTATGAGTTAAGGCATACCTGAACTCGGCCCTCGTCAGAACTGTAAATTTTCAAATCATGACGATATGTGCTATGAAGGCGAAGAAGACCAGTACCTTCACCTGTAATTTTATATAAAAATCCATCAAGAAAAAAACAACATACTTCTGAATTCGTCACTATTTTATCTACCAAGCAAACAACATAAATCTTAGGAGTCAAGATTAACTTGAGCAAATACTAAAAAGATTAACATATCTATAATGAGCTCAGTCCTCCCACGCAAGGTGCAGACTACTAACAGTCAAAGATAAAAAGATCACTGTTGGTAACCTGGATACATATTATTTCGGAAAAATCTACCCAGCTCTTCTGCCTGCACAAAATTAAGACACAAATTATGCAAGAGAAAAGAAAAAGGAAAACAAACAAATGAAGCAATATATTTTTATATAAATTCTTAAACATGTCCAAAATGAATTTGTCCTAACCATTGTCCACTTTAAATTCAACTAACCCTTCTCACTTAAAACTTTCCAATGATATCCCTTCTAATTCAAATTCAAATAATTTTCTAAATTTTATAGGATAATTTGGCTTCTCAAGTGAAAAGATGTTCTCTTTATAAGCTACAGGGTAACTAAATAAGAAGTACATGAACTAGTAATATAGGTAAACATGAAAGGGAGATTCATATTTATTACCTGCTTCCTCCCAGCATGTGTAAGGACACCTCCATATTTAAGAACCATCAGTGCTTCAACAGGCCGTTCTTCTTCACCTTCACCATTACTTTTTGGAGCTTTAACCCACTTAAGAGGCTTTAATTGAACCTTTCTATAAATACCAGAAAAATGTCCTCCCTGGAATCAAAAGCATTTAACATTAGACAGCAGCCCCATATTAACAAAAAAAATTCTAAAAAAGGGATATTATCTTCATCATGGAATTAGCAATCATGAACTTAGACATTCACAAAAAAGTGGTTCGCCCAAGAGCAACAATAAAATGAATTTAGCAAAGCTGGTAGACTGACAAAAGAAAATCATTTCAAGATAACATATATAACCTCCTCAAGTACTGCTTTAACTTGACGAAGCTTTTCAGCATGCTCAAGATCTTCTGCTTCACTATCACTTCCATGACCTGGTCTATTTCCCATAAATAATCAAAGATAAATCATTATTGATCTTTAAATAAATTCAACAATCCAAGTGGTTAAGTACTTCCTTTATAGAAAAGTAAAATTAAAAACCATACGCAGATATTGCTACAGGTAGTAAACACTGCACGCCCTCCTCCTACCCCCACCCCAAAAGATAAAAATAAAGAAAGAAAAGAGGATGTCCTTCAAGATCTGACAACTACAAGAGGGCAGCTCAATTTTTTCTTTTGTTTTTCTTTCGCTTCAGCTGTCAAAATCACATTTTTTTTCCTCTTTTAAACTAGCCAAAGAATGTTAGTTACTTCTTAGATTCTCTCATTCAATTAAACCATAAATTAAATAGTTAGTGATTAAATATAGCCTCATTAAAACAAACCTCAATCCCTACCCTACTAAACTTGTTGCAATTCCTTTTCCTGTCCAATGACAAATCACTGTTACAAACTCTTGCTTTTGGTCCTTTGATGTTTTGAGTGGCAGGGAGGTGGATATTATAAATTGTTCCTGCTAGATCAGAAAAATTATGAAATATGAAGAGCTACCTGTAACGGGGTACAAGCATTCTTGTAGCATCCAACAAATCTTGCAATTGAACGGCACTCTTAAGCTTTGTCTAATAAGTGATAAAAGAACAAACAATTGCTTAGGCAACAGAATCTATTTGTACAATAAAGGTAAGGAAGAAGTGAAATAATCACCTCAGATCTGGGTCTTCCCCCATTGTACTTTAGCATCAGGTTCAGCAATTTTTCCTCAGTAACCTTCAATTTCACTTTCTGCTTCGGAGTTCTATCACCACTGCCCATTCAGGATACTTTTTGAGTACAATGCAACGATTACTAGGAAAGGAAAAATAGCAAGGAAAATGAAGCAACATACTGGCGAATAACTACTATAACACAGCGTAGCTCCTCAGACTGCCCAAATGTCCCCATGAGTCCACTTCCTTGACGAGTAAGTCCCTCAGAAGGCTGCACTGGTTCATTTACTTTCCATGGTAATGTTGGTGGTATTGCCGAGGAAAGATGAGGAGCTTTTGCATCTAAAAACATTTTCCTCAGCACACAAGCAGCATCATCGTAATACCTGTATAACAATAGAGCCTGTAAGTCTTTTACACAACAAATAAACAAGACCGGAAATAACATTACTAAGTTTAGAACCATGGAAAATAGAAACATCAACTAAAGACAATACAAAGCATAGTCAAATGAAAAGACCAATGACAACAAAACCATGGATAATCACTAAAGCGGAGAGAAGTTGATTAGTATTACTTGTGAGAGTTTTTAACAAAACTCCATCCATTCACATCACAAACATAAGAACATCCATCCGAACGCAAAAGATCAAACCCACAAACCTGCAAGAAACCAAAATAGTTATCAGAGGGACATTTCTGTCAACACAGGGAAAGTGCATAATTTTTAATAAACCCTATCTTTTTATGTTCAATTATAAGAGATGACAAGTGCAATTATTGCTCAACGTCTAGATAACCTCAAAAGAACATATACATTAAATTTCTTCAACTGAATGTGTCAAAATCATCCGTGTAATAGTAGTCTCATTTGTTTAGGAGTCTTTTATGATAAGAAAGATAAGTCTTAGGAATCTTTGTAATCTCTATCTTTAGAAGAAAAGTACTATAAGAAGACAACTAGTCAGTTTATTTAAACTATTTGTAATCTCCTAATTCAATAATCAGATTTGTATTGCATTAACTCTTCTATTCTTTCCTTCTCCTTCGATTTATTTGTGGGCCATAACCCACAGGTCCCAAGATCGGAACCTGGCTCTGATACCATGTGAAAAATGAAAACATATTTGTTTTTCTGTATTTTTTCTCATTAATTGCAGTATACAAAGTTAGCCTTTTATAAACTAGAATTTCACCTAGCTAGGGTGCTTAACAACTATACAAATATTTGAAATTTAAATTAGAAATAAAATCAATCTAATCTAAACAAACAAAATAACAAACTAACTAAATGTATTCACAACTCACATTATTCTCTTATATTATAACACAATGAAACCATTCTTCATAAACCAAATTGATAATAAATTCAACATGTATACAAATCAGACTTAAATGGAAACAAACTCCTAAAAAAGAAAATCTAAGAGCTAAAATATGGTGGTAAAATTTATGATAAAGCATTATGAGTAAATAATTTCTAAAGAAGCTAATATGAGCTTATGCTCAAACTTTTCAGAAAAGATATTCTCAATGCAAAAGAAATTACTATGAGCACAATTCAAGCAAATAAAATTTCAAAGGATCAGAATGAGAAGAAGAAAAAGAAGAAGCCCTAGTCGAAATAAAAACAAAAACACAGATAAGTAGTTTCCAGTAACACTTGCAGAAAATAAATGGTCACATATTCACAATGGTCAACACCAAGGCATCTGGTGCAAAGGAGATTCACTCAACATACCGCTTGCCTAAATGCCATGCAAACTTCCCGTGCCATTTGTTTTTCATTAGGCGTCAGCAACACAGGATACCTGACCTGTCATATAGGTAACAAACATAAGTTTCAAACATCGGTTGTCCCTTGTTCCCATATGTAATGGGGTAAGGGGGAGGTAAGATAGTAGGCTGCCCCCAACACTAGGTTGAGAGCAGCTTTCGTAGGAGACCTCCAAATTATGAAATACCCTCCATGGGACTCGATCCCACGACCTCAAGGTTAAGAACCTTATGCTCTACCAACTGAGTTGGATGGTCATTTACCCCAATAAGTGTAATTGCACCAGATCAACTATCGGAGCAAAAGCGGTAGGTGATTAGAAACTAGTGTTACATGTTGAAGACATCAATCATAATTGATTAACTATACTATCATATAAGTAATAAAGATATGTTCCAAATATCATGTCTTCCGATACGTCTAATAGCATTGTATCAACTATAAAGTGGTAGGTGCTTAGAAACTAGTACTACGTGTCGAAGAGATCGATTATAACTAATAAAGCTTTCCATAACTTTTAACTGGGCATTTAATGGTAAGTGATCGGCCACAAATCCAAGCAAATAATTTAAACCTTTACTAGAGTAAGACATAATCAAATTAGAAGCTTTGCATATGAGATCCTACTCGCTATCATTTTATATATAATTTCTGCTAAACTATTGATTTAACCTTGCATTTTACTGTCCATTTTTCACCATGTGGGACTGTGAAGGTATGGACAATGATTTAAGACATTGCAAGTGATTATGGAACATCTAAAACAATATGTGCATCATAGAGCACGGCATATTTACCTTCTTTGTCATGTTTTATGTATTCCAAATTTCAAAACTTTAAATCTAATGACCTGACTTTAATTTATTCCACATAACACAACCTGACTGGCTCATTCTCCTGATAATTGAGTTCAACTAAACAAATATGGTTTCATCAACCACCTCAACTCTCAAAGATGATAACAAAAGTACTCCACATAGGTTGAAATTACATACTCGATGTCCACAGGAAAAACATCCTCACACAAAAAAACTGAAACTAAGGGACAAAGTTTGCTTAGAATCAAACATTGACAAAGAAACAAATTATTAAAAGAAACTGTTCGGAGAAAATATAGGGATTTATGGATATGCACTCACGTGCATGCATCAAAGAGAAGCAGAAAACATCCTTTGGATAATATATTGCAAAATACTTACTTCTTTGCCATCAGGGTTTCTCATAACAACACCATCAACAACAGGAGACTTCCTAGCCTCTGCATGAGCATATTCAGGGCCAACAGTATAGACCTACATTCATTTGACAAGATGAACAGAAAAACTTGAGAGAGAGAGAGAGAACAGTAAGAGTATTGGTTAATGCTAAAACAGAATCTCAGAAAGAAAAAAAAGAACCCAATGTATGATCTATCTGCAAGTAGAATAGATGTTATCATCAATACAAAAATCAATCCCAAATTACGCCCTGAATTAATAGTATTAAAAACCAAAGAAACAGCAAACGTGAGGTACCCGTGATACACTATTTCCCTCCACTCTCTTATTCAAACACAGTTAAGCATAGAGTATGCTTCTTGAGTGCAAAAAGTTCAGCAACAAAAAAGAATTTAGTTTCATACAAGTACAATTTTAAACAAAAATAAATCAACTAGAAAATATTTCCACCAAAAAGCACAACCTTGACATCTGTTCCTCCTGTCGGCATAAACTCCTCATATATGTAAGAACCGTCACGTCTTACTCTTCTAACATCAGGATGGAACTCACTTGATCTGTTCCCAACCTAAAAAATAAAGAAGAAAAACTATATCACATTACAATTTAAATTTATCAGAGAGAATACTTGAACAATCATGGACAACTATTATTGACTGCCACATGTAAAAAGAAAACGAGAAAAAAAGTATTTTCCAAACAATGCATCATGCTTTTAAAATTCACATAAGAGAAAAGAGGGGTCACTGGGATTGATCATCTTTCTTGTCCGATGTGTAGGAGGTGTAAGGAGTCAATTTCACATCTGTTTTTGTATTGTGAGGTGGTTTGGTTTCTGTGGTCTAGATTTTTGAGGGACTGGAACGTTTCTTTTGTGGTTCCTAAGAAGATTATTGATTTTTTAATTATGTGGGATGATTTAGTTCCGAGCTCAACTATTTGGAAATTCATTCCAAGGGCTGTGTTGTGGTCGGTTTGGAAATGCAGAAACGATATTATTTTCCAGAAAAAGGTGGATTCTGCACTGCTGTTTTTTCTTGTTAGGTTCAGAATTGCTACTTGGTTCGGGGTAAGATTTAAGGATGTTAAAATTCCTTTCGATTCTCTAGTTGGGGATCTAAAACTGGCAGATTCGAATGGAAGACAGAAAAAATGGAGTTCTCCTCCTACGAAGTGGGTTCCTCCTCCAGAAGGTTTCCTTAAACTTAATGTTGATGGGGCAATGGCTAAGGGTTGGGACAAAGGTGGAATAGGTGGTTTGATTCGGGATGACAGGGGTTTGTTACTTGGTTCATTTTCAGAAAAAAATGGAGGTGGTCCTCCTATTCTTGCTGAGTTAATGGCGATCAACAGAGGTTTGACTCGCATTGAAGAAGTAGGCTCTTCTCCAGGACAGAGAATTATCTTGGAATCGGACTCAACCACAGCTATGAAGTGGATTAAAAATCCAGATCTATGTACCCCTTTATTTCAGACCTTGGTTAGAGGTGTAGCTACCAATGTGGAAGGAAAGGGCATCATTTCAAGACATATTTTGAGAGCTGCTAATTGGGAAGCGGATGAGTTAGCAAAAGCTGGTATTGGTTGATCAAGTGGTATTGTGTTGAGGTTCTTTAGTTGTTATGCTTACTCAGTTTCTAGGTTTCTGGTTTTACTGTTGCAGTTTTTTTTATGTTTTTAAGTCTTATGTCAAGCAGTATATGACTAGGAATTGGTTGTATGTTATGATTCTGAGTAATAAAATTCAGAGGTGCTCTTTTCCTCCTTCCTATGTCCTTCATGTTACTGATATAACACGTAGGATATGAAGGGGGGTTTTAATGAGGCCTATCTTTTATCAAAAAAAAAATCACATCAGAGATGAAAAATTACCAAAATAAAAAGTTCTAGCCAAAAGTTCAAATAAGTATTCAGACCTTCCTAAACAGATTCTTCATGCCTCCACCTGCTGAGCTTGGGTAATATATCATTATGCTATGATTATCCCCTTCAAGAAAGAACAGAATAAAGTTGTTAACATGTGTAATGGAGAAAAGGGTCAACGCTGCTATTGCAATTATGAATTACAAAAGAACAAGAATCCTTTTCAGGCATCATTAATTACACTTCAAAAATTAATTGCATGTAGAAATGAGAATAATTGAAATGCCCACTAGTTTATCTTTTTCATGATCTAACATACTTTGCATGGAAGTTCAAGCTTTATGAAAACAAGAACGTCACAAAGAACCATATTAAATTCATTCTCTGGATATTGGTGAGAAGCAAATATATGCATAAGGTAAAGAAAATATAAAGGCTAAATTCACCGTCAACAGGCTTCTCCACAAATGGCTTCCAAAAACGATTTCCGTGGACCTCAACATAATCTTCTTCTTCAATAAAATAATCCAGCTCTTGGTATGGTTCTTCTCTATTTACCAGGGCATATCTTGGAACAGGAATTCCATACATTTCTAGCCGCTAGAATCAAAATCAAATAGTTCAGTCAGTTTTAATCAATCAATCAATTGCTATATTAGTGTGATACATTTCAACTATTTATGTGGTTAGTTCTCATTCAAGCTCAAAGGATTTTTTTCCCTCAAAGCATATAAGCTTTGACCAATTATGGTACAAGACTTAACCTTACTGTCAATCGGTTCAAAAGTCAAAATATTACAGAAGCGGCAGGAGAAGAAAACACCTATTAGAGTTTCCTCTCTCAACATCTCAGGTCAAGGCAGTATAAAAGTGACTGCCCTGACGTCCCTAGCTGAGGTGGAAAGTGTTCTTGGTTTTCCTAAGTTGATAATGGATCAAAAACCTTGACACCAAGATGGAAGTTTAGGATGTATACCTCATAGACCTTCCGTCGATCATGGAGAAGGTGTTGTGGTTCCAACTCGTTCACAAGGAATGGTCTGAATCATAGGGAAGAAACAGTTGCAAAACATAATTAATTACTGCTTACTAGGTATAAAAAAATATTATAAAGAGAAGAGGAGGAAAAGTTTTCTTATACAAAGAACTAAAAGGATCAAAACACAGTAATTAACCATTAGACAATTATATAGACTAAAGAATTAGAAACTACGACGGAAATCAAATTTACAATATTAAAAAGATTGGTTCTGCTGAAAAATCATATTTAAGATGAACAATCAGATGAAGACGCCACTTAGATTGTAGTTCAATAAAATAAGGCCAAATTTAGTGCAGATCTACACACGAGTAAAAGATTCAAATGATCGTACACTAGTGGAAAACATGACACTTAATATGCAAAGGTGGCTCCTACTGCGCTCATCCATGACCCAAGCTGGCAAGCTTTAATTCGCCTACCTCCATTAGAGAGAAATTAACTAAACTGTCAGCTATACGCTGCTCTTGTACATTATCTAATCAACTCTATCTCTACAGTGTCCTAAATATATTTCAATTGTAATGGTCTTAATCTTCTACATCTTGATGGATTGATGGGGAAATCTTCGCATGCTGATGCTGAATTAACAGCTTAAATATCCATAAAGTATCCTTAAAAGGTTTGATCCCAAAGGTAAAAAGTATGAGTATTACGGTCAAAATTGTTCAATCATTATATCAAGTTTTTCGTGTTAAGAATCAACATTAAGCAACTGTAAAGGGTACTTCTATCTAGGTGAGGAGATGTTACAAAATAGCAAAACGCCTTCTAGTGGAGAGATAGCGGAGAGAAAGATTGGAGCAGATCCTGGAGGACAAGTGTCGTAGGTGATGATGGAAGCAGTGGATGGCTTGAATAGATGAAAGATGAGGTGAAAGTTACGGTGGTCGTAGTGATTGTGAAGAGAACTTTGCAAAGAGAATTTAGAGAGTCTAAGTTCACCAAAAGATCAAAGTCCTCAAATGAAACGTTCCAACCCCTATTTATAGCCCGCTCAAAGTTGTTAAAGTAACGGTTATAGAAAGACGTGAGGAAACATGTAACAAATTACTATGTAATGTGGCTTAAGTCCGTAGCTTTTTTATATAGAAGTTGTTATCAAGATTGGATCCACAGATTTCCCAACATGAAGTTGCGCCCAAAGTTGGCTCCATAATTTTCCTTATGTGGAAGTTGTATCCAACATTGGTTCCACAACTTCCCCAAATGTGGATTTTGTAACCAAAGTTGGCTCCACGGCTTTCCAAATATGGAAGCTATGCCCAACGTAGGCTTCACAGATTTTCCAACAACGTTGGTTCCTCGGCTTTCCCAATGTGAAAGTTGTGCCCAACATTGGCTTTTCTAATATGGAAAGCTATGCCCAAGTTGGCTCCACAGCTTTCCCAATGTGGAAGTTGCGTCTAAGTAGCATTGTTTCCCAGATCATTAATCACCAAAAACAAGTATCCACAATAATCTTATTTTGACACTTGCACATAGAATACATCCATGAAAATAAACAGAAAATATATATAATAACTTACTTCCTTAAAGCAGCATATGCTTCAGCTTTCTCAAGGGGATACCCAGAGGAATAAAATGCAATCAAACAATCACAGATTGACCACCTGAAATATGCAAAATTATAATAAATAGAGAGTTCCGATAACAAAGATAATACCAATTATAACCTATATTATCAACAACTTCATAATGTAAATCAGAGACACTATGTTCCAACGAATTAGCTGAAAATGTACCTTTCTATCGGTTCCTCAAGAATAACCTTATCGCCAAAATGTATAATCTACAAAAAGATAAAAAAACAAAGAAACATTGCAATGCAAGGGATTACTTTCAAAGGAAAAATGCAACGCAAGAGATAAGAATAAAGCAACATGGCTTTTAACACGCTCAATTTCACGCGTACACGCGCTAACCAATCCCCCCCCCCCAATTGCTTTGAAGAAAAAATGTAGAACTTACACACACACAAAAATCATAATTATCCTCCTAAAAAGAAAAAAAATACATCGCACGAATAAGAAGAAGTTATATTTCTCGTAAACTAATTCACGTTTCATAAATTTACTTCAATTTTTTTAAAAAGGCAGATTCATTTAAGTATAACTAAAAGTAAATCTGATCTACCTCAAATTCGCCAAAAGCCTTAAGCCTGTCAAGAATTTGTCCCATTGGAGCTGAAAAAACCTGAAAACACTTAAAATGTTTAAATCAAGAAGTGAGCAATATATACTAAACTAAATACAATATAACTCACATATCATCTTAATACTGTTTTAATTTTTTTTAAAAAGAGTACTATAATTTCTGTATATTTATTAGAAAAAACTTGAGCTAACAAAAGAGAAACAAAAACCTCGCTTCCGCATTTCACCTTCTTTTCCATGACGCAGACTCCAATCGTTATCTTCTTATGTCCTCTAATCTCTCCTCCATCTCCTCCTCCCATCTCTCTTCCTCTTATGCTCGCTCAGGATAATAAACTAACTTCAACGTACAAAAGTGAAGCGAAAACTCCGATTTGAACTCTTCAGCTTCCGATCACCGCCACAACGCCAATCCCAGCCGGAAGTTCCTCCGGAGACGCGTATTCAATACGGTATACGTAGACGAATACGTAGGCAAGATCTATCAGAGTTTCAAACAAAAAACAAACAGAGAAACGATTCGGAGAAGAAAGAAAGAAAGAAAGAAAGCAATGAAGGCAGGAAGGCGGTGAGTCAGTCACGATAAATATTTTCGAGACGAAAATGACACGGAACGTTCTTGGAGGCAAAAACATAAATAAATAATACAGTTAATTTTAAATAGATCACCAAATTAGGTTGAAATAACTTTTAATATTTATAAAATTATTAAAATATTTAAAATCATTAAATTTCATTATTATGGTATAATTATTTTATAAAATTATAATAAATTTTTAAATTTCATTAGATGAACGTGTTAACATTCAGTTTAGACAATCGTTATTTTTTTTTTTTTAAATGATGAGTTTAGAATATAATGAATAGTCAGATAGTCGAGGGAATCAATAAAATAATATTATATAGTTAGATAAACATTTTATAATTTTTAATAATCAAAAGATTTAATAAAATATTATCCTATAATCGACGATCATTTGTGTATTTTACACTATATAAAAAGATTTTTTAAAATGATAGATAAAAAAAAAGATAATTTAAGCATATTTCATTTATCTATGTATTTTATCTTTTCATTTTTGTTTTAACTAGTTGTATCATATATCTTTAAACTACAATTTTATTTTAAATTGACCGTTAAACTTTTAAATATTTAATTTAATTTTCAATTAGGTTCCTCATTTCAAATCGTGTTAGGTTTTTTTAATATTGAAATTTCATCTTTAAAATTATAACTCTCATTTTAAATTGGTTCCTATATTTTTATATATTTTCTTTTTATCTTTAAATTTATCTAAATATAAAATTATGTTATACCATAATTTAACCTAATTTTTATCAAACATATAAAAATATAGCTTGACGTAATAATTTTATTAACCTGAGACGTGATTAATGGTTTTATTTAAAAAAATTGAAATATTCAAAAAATTGAGGATTGATTTAAAATTAGAGTCATAATTTTGGTATGAAATTGAAATTTAAAAAAAATAAAGAACAACTTGGACTGAGATCATAGTTTGAGGACACATGATATAGTTAAATATTTATTTATAGGGTAAAGTACACAAATGATCCCCTAACTATAAGATATTTTTTTATTAAGTTCATCGATTATTAAAAGTTACAAAATGATCCTCCAACTATAGAATGTTACTTTGTTATGTCCCTCGACTATTAAATATTACAAAATGGTTACCCGACTATTTATTATATTTCAAACTCGTCATTTCCCGTTAAAAAAATGGTGGTTTGTCTAAGTTGAACGTTAACATGATGATTGAGATACGATAGCCTTTGAGATTCTAAGCTTATATTTTATCACATCAAAGTCAGTAGGTTAACGTTTAGCTCATAATACTGTCAATTTCTTTTAATGGGAAATGACGAGTTTGGAACATAATGAATAGTCGGGTGAACATTTCGTAACTTTTAATAGTTGAGGGACTCAACAACACAACACTCTATAGTCAGAGGATCATTTTATAACTTTTAATAGTCAAGAGACTTAATAAAATAATATCCTATGGTTGGGGGGACCATTTGTGTACTTTACCCTTATTTCTATTAAATATTTTTTTTAAATGGAGGGATGTTTGGAGACGGTAGCCTTTGGATTCTGGGATATGCAAAGTGGGTGATGTATAAAGTTGACAGCCCTTTTGTTTTTTAATCATGTTTTTACGAAGATTTGGTGAGCTTGGTCTTTGGAATATGGTCCATATAAAAAAGATAAAGTGACAAGTTGGTGATCTATGTGTCATTTTCCATTGAATATTACTAATTTATTTGGACCCAAGACATCATCTTTAAAAAGATGGATGGGCATAAGCTAGAATGTGTTTAACAAGTGGGTGTTGTACATGTCACAATCTATGTTTTATTTGGTAGATATTTTTCTCTCATTGAAGTAAAAAAAAATCATCTATGAGACCTATCTCATAATAAAATATTTTATTTGACACGAATAATAAGTTAATATAGTAGGACGAGACATTAGATTCTTTAAATCTTGACATTTGTGTATAAAGCAAACTGGTGAGGAGAATTGTCTCCTGTAATCAATGACGGAGCTATGTAGGCCTCGAGGGCCACTGCCCCAAAAAATTTTTACCATTAAAAAATAAGGATAATTACTAATTTAGACCTTTAAATTTTGATTTAATTTGATTTTGTCCCCTATTTCTTTGTTAGTTATATTTTACCGCCGAACTAAAATCCTGACTCCGTCCCTGCCCATAATAGACATTTACAAAATTCGATATGAATTAATCAATTGATCAATGATTTGAATTATGATATATTTTATATTTACAAAAATATTTTTATTATATTATTCATTCCATGAACATGTCACACCTCACAACTCACATGGTGTCATATACTTTCAACGTGGTTCCTTGCTAATTATTATTGGAATATATTAATATATTAATTTTAAAATGATTTGTTTCTTTAGATAGCAATTATCATAATAACATTGTTAATAAAATAATTTTTTGTCATTAATATATGAAAAATAATTAAAATATGTTCAAGTTTATAATTTCTAAATTATTATGATACTAATCTAAATATTGATTTATTCCCTAAGAAAAATGACAAGTACGTCTTTGAAGAAGGTATTTGTTTCTTTTAAGGAGAAGATTGATTATATAGAAAATGGAAGTATAAGGATAGTCAATGAAAAGTTTCTTTGCTACTTCAAAGATACAATGATACTAAATAATCAAAACGTCTAATGATATTTTTAATCTTCAAATTTTTTAGAAAAATCATTTTAGTCCTTAATCATTTTTCGTCTATTTTGATCCTTAGATTTTTCATCATGTTCCAAAATGTCACTTTGTTAAGTCATTTTGCATTTAAAAGTTACAGAATGTTCATCTGACTATTCATTATGTTCCAAACTCATCATTTTATGTTAAAAAATTCACAGTTGTTTAAGTTGGACGTTAACATGATGATTGTGATATGATAGTCGTATGAGATTCTACGATCAGACTTTATCATATCACAGTTAACATGTTAACGTTCAGATCAAAATACTGTCTACTTTAACAGAAAACAACAATTTTAGAACATAATAAATAGTCGAGTGACTATTTGTAACTTTTAATAATCGAGAGACTCAACAAAACAACACTATAATTGAAAGACCATTTTATAATTTTTAATAATCAATGAACTTAATAAAATAGTAATATATATTCGGAGGATCATTTATATATTTTACCCTGAAATATATTAGCAGGTGATTTTTTTTGTACGTGCTTTGATTGGGGAGGTTGAGTAGTCTGTTGAAAATTCAGAAAGCAATCAATCACAAGCAGCCCAACTAATAATAACATAGGCCCCAATGAAAAGGTAGGTTAGTTAAATATGGGAGAATTCAATACGACATTTGTAGAGCACAATTTTTTAATTTTGAGGACGTGAGATCGAGTTTTACGGAGGGTATTTTATAATTTGGAGGTCTTTTACGGAAGCTGCTCTCAATTTGGTGTTGGGAACAGCCTATTATCTCACCTTCTCTATTTTTTAAATGACATTTTTTCCTTCTCGTTTTCCGTCAACGAGTGTTCGTATAAGTAGTTAAATTAAAAAATTATGTTTACAATGTCAAGTTCGAATTTTGTCACTGTTATTTTTTGTGGGTAATCTGTAAATTCTTATGTAGATCTCAATTAGGTCTTAAGTATACCTTGATTCTAAACTGATGGAGCCACTCCGGACCTAAAGTTTACGTAACAAAAAAAACATATTTTTCTAATAAAATTCATAATTCATTGTACATTTAGAATTTATAAATGTGTAAGAAATTTTATGCAAAAAGTAAAGAAAATAGTTTCATGATAAATTATTTACTCAAATATAGAATTAAAAGATTTAAAAGTATTTAAAAAAAAATAGTTGACCCTTATTCTCATATGTAATGGGGTAAGAGGAGGTAGGATAGTAGGTTGCCTCCAATGCCAGATTGAGAACAACTTCCGTAGGAGATCTCCAAATTATAAAATACCCTCTGTAAGACTCGATCACATGACCCCAAAATTAAGAGCATTGTACTCTACCAAGTGAGATGAATGACATTTCTATTTAAAAGTATTTAAACCAATATGTAATTTTTCTGGTCAAAAACACATCATAACTAATTTTGACCATCCAAGCGTATTCTCACCACGGTTTTGAAGGTTAACCGATTGATAAACATGGGTCAATGGAATTTTATTAAGAAATGTATTTGGTCAAATTAATATTTTTTTATTAGTACAATGCAATATCTATTAAAAAATAACTTAAATATTCATGGTGGTTAAAATTAGACAATATTTTTTTCTCAAAATTAATTATTTTTATACACAATATTTGAAATTTAGATTCATTATCGTTAAAAATTATAAATTTAAAGGTAAAGTATACAAATGGTCTCCTGATTATAGGATACTACTTTATCGAGTCTCTCGACTATTAAAAATTATAAAGTGGTTCTCCAACTATAGGTTGCTTTGTTGAATCACTCGACTATTAAAAGTTACAAAATGGTCACTCGACTATTCATATATTCCAAATCCATCATTTTTTCATTAATATGTTGATTGAGATATAATAAATTCTGATCATTTAATCTCTAACAACGACCGTATCACAGTCAACATATTAACACCTTATTAAGATGACCACTAATTTTTAACGAAAAAATGACGAGTTTGGAACATATGAACAATTAGATGATCATTTTGTAACTTTTAATAATTGAGGGACTCAACAAAGTAACGTCCTATAATCAAAAGGTGATTTTATAATTTTTAATAGTCAGAGACTTAATAAAATAATACTCTATAATCGAATATCATTTTAAATTTGAGAATCATAAATACAACAACGTGAACATCTAATGTTAAATGGAAAAGTGGGTGGGATTGAGGACCGAGGTAGTTGACGGGTCAATGGAATACAGGAACGTAAGAAAACTTTAAATATTTTTCTAAGAATATCATTTAGTCCTCCAATTTTACTGTTTTCCCAATTTGATTTTTAATTTTTTTTTCTTCATACGAGTCTTCTAATTTGGTAACATTTTTCACAAATGGAATTAGTTAGAACACTTGGAAATTCAATTATTGATATAAACAAAATATTTAGTGATTAAATTGGAAAAATATCAGAATTTTAAATTTATTTCTTTTATATTATTATATTCTCAAGACTATTTTTTTAAAATATACATTAAATTTAATGAAATTGGACGAATAATCTAAGAAAATAAAAAGAAAAACATATGGAAAATATTTGGCAAAAAGGCATCAGGGGTCCCTACACTTTTGAAAAAAAACCAATGTGACCCTTGTATTATTTTTTCTCTCAATATGACCCTCCAACTCAGAACAAACCCAATGTGACCCTTTGATCAACGTTTTTCCGTCGATGATCATTACGGTGCTGGCGTGACAATTCACGGTGTTAACGTTATGATCCACAATGCCGATGTGGCAATTCATTTGCCATTTTTGAGTTATCAATTCAGCCCATCTGTCATGTCTTCCACCACATTATCAACCACTATAGACTGTCACGTTAATATAGTGGATTGCCACGTCAGTATAGGGCACTGTCACGTCAATACCGTAACGGTCAATGACGAAAAACGTTAGTCAAAGGAACATATTGGATTTATTTTCTGAGTTGAAGGGCAATATTGGGAGAAAAATAATACGAGTGTCATATTATTTAAAAAAATATATATATGGACCTCTGATACATTTTTACCAAAATATTTTAAATTATATGAGTTAAGCAAGGTTAAGTGATTATGATTTTTAATCTAAAATTATTAATAAAATATAGTAGCACATATTTTAATTTTATGGAAGTATTTATTTGAGGATAACTATTTAGCTAGTGAATAAATAATAACAATTGTCTTTAAAATATATTTAGAAAATTAAAAAAAATACCAACAATACACTTGTTAATATAAAAAACTTTTGGGCCTTACCATTACAATGTTAGAGAATCCATATTCCAAATGGAAGAACTACTATAGTCTACCATATGTGTGTTTTTCAGTAAGATGATTCGAGTCTGACGAGTTTCGATCAGATTCGATTTAATTGGATTAATTTTTTATTTTAACTTTAGGTTTAAGTTGGATCGTGTTCGAATTCAAAATGAAAAAACTTCGACTCGATATGATATTACAATTATCGTTCAAACTATACCAGAAAGTTAAGTCTTGTTAAGTATATTCAGTGGAAGAAGAGAGTACAAAAGTGCAACAAAATCATACAACGCAAATTGACTGATCCTTGAAACAAAATTTCACAGCACCAAAGATAAGCCTTTCCATGAACAATTAAGCAGACGATCGATAAATGGCTGAAGAAATAAAGCAAAAACCCAAAGTTTGGAGCAGAATTCACCAGAGATTCAAATTGCGGTTACGTATTCAGTGTGTCGCTTTTATCGCGGTTGCAACTATATTGCAGTGATTGCGGTATCGTGGTCATATAATAACGATCGCGAAGAACACTACTATCGCCGACCACTATTTAAATCCCTGGAATTCACATCACGAATTGGAAGTTCTTTCATGTTATTCAAAGCCATAGTTCATCTGCCACTGGTAAAATTTCCCAAGCAAAAGAAATTGTATTAGAACATGCAAATGATGAACCTATATGCAGTACGCAGGATTTTATGTTAAATGGGGAGAATTTGAACTTATAAAATTTCAGGGGACGAACTTAAATTTATAAAATTCTAGGGGAAAACAAATTTTCAATAGAAAATACATAGATAAAATCTAAAATATATGGCAGCCTCACACCTGCCCCGGTCTAGGTCCATTCCTTCCTATATGCATTGTTCAAGCTATGCTACTTGGATTATTCATTCTAAAAGTATTCGTTTTCGACACATATTCGACTATTCGACGACGGGTACGAGCGTTTACCTTTCGACAACAGAGGAACCACGACGACGTGCATGACGGCATTGTTAGGAGGAAGCTGCAAACGAAGGGGATAAAGATTGCCATTCAAAGGATTCCGAGAACAAAGAGAGAACTCTTCCTTCACAGTCATCTCTTCCTCCAACGCTTTCTTCAATTCCTCGATGGTATTCCCTTTAAAATTGAACCTACGCTCTCCGATTGTTTGATCGACATTTCCGTTACCGTCGACGACCTCGTACGTGATAACCCTTCCCTCGAACGCCTTTATGGGTTCGACCGCCGAATCATCATTGGACTGCATACCACGAAATAAAGTTAATTAACCTTGGGTGAGCAATTGAGTAAATGACGTGAAAACTTTGTACATCAAACCTCAAGTCTAGGTGAAATTTGTGTAGGTGATTCATTAACAAGTACTTGACCGGGAGGAGGCGGAGGAGGACGAGCCGAGATTTCGTCGTCTCGACGAAAACGCAACACATCGACGTGCCAAAATGTCCAATCTTGATGCTTGGTCCTGTAAGGATTATCATGCGTGACCTGGTTCCTCCACGGAGGCAACCCTCCATTTGCCCGTAGATAAAGGCCGTAACGAGTCTTGAGGCGAATCAACGTACCCTCGTGGATCGGTTCCCACTCGACCGACGAATCCAATCGCTTCGGCAACGTCTGCAGCACCTTCTTCCCCATCATACCTAACAGGAAAGGCATGTTGGAAGCCGTCAAGTATTTGCCGAAGCAACTCTTGAGACGAACGTGTGTCGTGTTATAGTCCAATAATTCAACCGTCCATCTTGCGTTCTGCCCCGTTCCGTCTCGCTCTTGGAAGACGGTTTCCTCGTCGTCGTCGGCGAGCAAGTATTTCTGGTGGTGGCTACGTAGTCGAACAACGCTCGCTTCTTCGAAGATTTCCATGGCAGCCCCCTAAAGATAAACTTATATGGCCATCCGGAAACCGCTTGGAAGAAAGGGAAGTTTTCTTTATTTTTTCAATGGATTACAAGTTTTATAAGTTGATTAAAGTACGACATTTAGGGAGCTTTTTGTGATTAATTTTTTTTTATAGATGATGTATTCCGTAAATTTAGTTTTGTATTAAACGTGTCATGTTAATAGTGTTTAAATGTGTGGATTCCTATTTATTATAGGATAAATTACACATTTAGTACGTAAACTTTTAATTTTTTCAAAATCATACTAATATTAAGTTTTTATTTTGTTTTAGTACCTCGCCGTTAAAAACTTAATGGGTAATTTGCATGTGACACCTTTTTATGGATAAATTGCATTATTCATTACTCAATTATCTTATCACTCCTATTTTTATCACTGAAGTTTATTTTTTAAATTTAATCACTTAACTTTCAAATTACTCCTAATTTAATTACTCTAACTTTTATTTTTAATTTTAAATATATAATGATAAAATAATAATAAAAAATGTCATGTCACAAAATTATTAATAAAATAAATTAGAGTGATTAAAATAGGAGCAATTTGAAAGTTGAGTAGTTAAATTGAAATTTTTAAACTTTAGTACCAAAATCAGAGTGAGAAGATAGTTGAATGATAAATGATGTAATTTAACTATAAAAATATAGTGCCGTTAAGTTTTTAATGGTGAGGTACTTAAATGAAAAAAATAAAACGTTGACATGGTTTTTAATTTTTTTTAAAAGTTTAGGTACTAAAACAGATCAAAACTAGTAGTTCAAATACTAAACACATAATTTAGCCTTTATTATATTATACTTACATCTCTATATTTATTAATTTTTTATAATATTATTCATATTTGACGTATTAATCAAATAATTTAAACTAAATTTTACAAGGATGTAATATGAAAATGATTCCCTCAATCTATTTTCTTCTCTCCACATAAATTTATAGTAATTTTTGAGCGAGAACATTTGAATTTGTTAAAAATTATATTGCACAAACACATTAAACCTAAAAAATTCCATTTCCATAAATGAATTTTTTTATCGATATTTAAATTTCTAATTTAATATAAATAAGTTCAAGTTCATCCCTAATATAAAATCGTGTGTTTGTCGCTAACCTATATCCATCATAGCATGAGGTAGCTCCTACCCATTATAATATCACAATTAGTGTAAAAATAACTCGGCCCTTTCAAATGGAAGTTTCTCTACGTTCTATGAAGTGACAATGAATCCATTTAAAGACGAAAACATCTAAACTCTTTATATTTATATCGAGGGTTAACTACGTGATTGATAATTTATGTTTGAGTTTTGTTCACTTTTCTTTATTGATTTCAAAAACCATAATGTATATGGTCGTTTTCGTTTTTATTTAGTTAAGACGTGATCGTTACGGGTTAACCATCGTTAGAGCTGATATAAACGTGAAATGGAAACGTGTCATCAACTATTCGTTTACTTCAAATCCCAACGAGGCAGTTAATCTGCTAGACTTATAAGAGAAACCTCAACAACTCAAAGAACGAAATACAATGAAAAAGCAAGAGCTGCAATGTTAGAGGATTGCTAAGCTTGCTTCGTGACGAAGGAGGATGACCAGTAAAACCAGTACCATTTTCCCTGTAACAAGTGTAGCTACATCGACTCGGTCGAACAACTCTATAAACGCCGTTGCTGCTCAACAAGAAGATGTCTTTCTTATTATCCTGCCCAAAGGAGAATATGAACCCTAATGCTGACTCTGGCTGAGCAGCATTGCAATGGATAGGTGAGTCATTGGCACATTCAACACGAAGCTGAGTTGTTGTGAAGTTTCCGCTACCCTTTGGGTTCTCAAAACCAGCCCAAACTTCATCACCATACATATCTGCATATAAATACCTGCATACATACATACATATACATATGATATGTTGCCAAGAGGATAGGGAAGATTCGAGTTAACTCATCACCTTCCATACAAGCATGGATCGGTCATGGACCTATAGAAATAGCCACCAGTGATTGCTGCAGATCCTTCAGCTCTGTTAACAGAAGAATGGTTATATGCCATAGCTGGGAAGATTGCATTTATGGGGTTTGAAGATTTATTAGCAACAGATGAGTTGTATAAAAATGGTCCCTCGTAAACTGGCCAGCCGTAGTTTCCTCCCTTTGTCACTATATCAACCTCTTCGTATCGATCCTGTATACGATCGAAGATATAAACATATTCGTATCAGATGCATACTCGTATTCTAATAACATAGGTGATTAAGCTCCGGAGGGGAACTAAACCTGACCAACATCTGCACATAGAAAGTAAGAAGGCCTCTCGGAATCAAAACTGCATCGCCAAGGATTTCGAAATCCCATGGCCCAGATTTCTGGCAGCAATTCGTTATTTTCATGAAATGGATTGTCTTTAGGAATTGAATAATTTCCCCATAGATGAAGTTCGCTGATGTCTGTTGCACCTGCATGGTTGAAAAACTTGGACCATCAGATAAAACTTGTCCGAAATTCTGGTCTTGTAAGGGAAATTTGATGGCAAAACTTAACTTGGTATGGTATCAATGTCAAGCCTCATAATCTTTCCAAGCAAAGATCTCTTGTTTTGTGAGAAGTTGTAAGGGTCACCACTACCTCCCCCATCTCCCGTGATAATGTACAAATATCCGTCTTTCGGTCCGAAGAGAATCTGACCGCCGTGGTGGGTGGTGAACGGCAGTCCCATTGTAAGTATTCTTCTGACTTCTACCGGTCTGATTCGAGTAACCTTGAATCGAAACCCAATTGAATGAGAACGAAACTCGACTCGTAATCATAATATTTAACTGTTGTAATTAGGAAATGTTTTCGAGTATTTACCGAGGAAAGATTTGATGGTTGTGAATTCAGCTATAACACTATGATATTGGCATGGTTGAGCCCCATTATCGGAGCTTAATTTTGAAGGATCACATCCTACATCAGTGTTGCATGAACATCTCCCTGCACATTCTGGCCATTGAACCTTGTCGCAGTTAAAGGAAGCAAAGAATCGACCGTTCCGTCGAAAATTGGGATGAAATGCCATCCCCATCAATCCAAGTGCGCCATTAGAATGTACTGCATCAGTTAAATCTAGAAAAGGATTCGACTCATCAATGCCTAATGTTTCTCCCGATCCTTGCTCGGGAACCGTCGCCAACCAAAGTTTCCCGTCTTGGTTAGACAAAACGACATGGTTCGAGCCGTCGGGATGAGCCACCATGTTAAGGTAGGATCCATTCCCTATTTTCTCAACACAAATACCACTAGGAGGACTAAGATCATCAGAACTGTTTAGCAATACCAGACCTCCATTAAAACATGTTGCCCCATCATCAGAAGCACCACCAAATTCATCACAAAAAGCACCCTTAGACCGCCATAGATCGGTTAACATCGAAGTCGAATTAATCAGTGCAAAAGGCGAACTTGTGACGGATACATTGTGGCATTTATCCCAAACTTCCGAACAGTAATCGATCTTGGCATGTTGGGACTGGCTTGATCTTGTCGAAATAGACGAGTTGCAAAGAACAGGAACAGCTCGTGGCGCATATTCAATCCGGTAGAGCTCCGACGAATATTGGTCACATCTCTGCAACACAAGTATAACATTTAGGCCATGTTATCATCTACTACAAAGACTTGAAACGAAGCCTTACCGAGCAGAGTATCGATTTAAGTACTGAAGCACAACCGGAAGCAGATACATTCATCGACTTGAACTGATTCCTGATCTGCAGATCCTCAGTAGAATTACAGCAAACACTTCCATTGTACCGACAAAAGGAAAGAGGCGTCCTAGACGTAAACGGTGCTCCTGTTTCGACAAAAAAAATATTGTCGGAATCCGATTCGATCGTCACAAAAAAAGTATAGTATAACAGCTCTTTCAATGGAGAAAGGGTTGCTATCAGCAATCAAAATGAACAAATTTCAGAAAATGAATCACCATAAAAGATAAGACACGTACTGAAGTTTGTGCACAACGGATGCGAAGAACAACGATCGATACGAAGAAGGAGCAGGCAATGAAAGCTGAAGATTATAGTTAGAACAGCAGCCATGTCTTGGAAACAAACAATGAACCAATTAAGCAAGCAAGAAGGAAATGATATTGAATGCTACTAACAATTTTTTTTCCAGTCATACCAACTAAATGGCGTTTTTCTGTCTTTTGGCACTTGAATTCAACTTTTTTAAGGTAAAGTACACAAATGGTCCCCGACTATAGGATATTACTTTATTAAGTCCATTGACTATTAAAAGTTACAAAATAGTCATTTCACTATTCATTATGTTCCAAACTTTTCTTTTTTCATTAAAAATTTGACTATTGTCTGAGCTGGATGTTAACATGATGACTGAGATATAATAGTCGTTTGAGATTCTGGGATCGAATTTTATCATATCACAGTTAACAATTAGCTCAAAATGTCATAATATTTTTAAACGAAAAATGATGAGTTTGGAATATAGTGAATAGTCAAGTGACATTTTATAACTTTTAATAGTTGAGGGACTCAACAAAGAAATACTCAAGTCGAAGGACTATTTTATAACTTTTAATAGTTGGGGGCTCAATAAAGCATCACCCTATAGTTGGGGACTATTTGTATATATTGTAGAAATTCTGCGTCTAATTTTCTCTCTGCCATTGTTTGACTTCCCTTGTTTGCTTGCATCTTAAATGCTAAAACAGTGGAATGGAAAGTAGGCAATGGGAACACAAAATCAAGCTTAGCTGACCTATTCTAATTTTCTCACTTTTGTTTGACCTATTCTTCATATAGTTACGGTTCTTTGATTTGACCGTAATCGATCCATCATCATCGATAAAATTCAATAAAACAACGTTTTATAGTCGGAAGTATTTGTCTATTTTATCCTATTTAAGGGTAAACTATCTATTTAGTCATTCACATATTAGTTTTTATTTTGGTGCACATATCAAGTAATTTCGGTGGTAAATGAATTGTTATTGTTCCTTAAGGTTCCGGATTCAAGCACTAGAAATGTCAGGGGTGTGAATGCTCAGTGACAAATGATTGAGAGTTTTCTTTGAACAAATACTGTCGTCTTTTACTTATCCAAATTAATCAAAAAAAAGTTTTATTTTGGTAATAACTATTATTGTTTTTCAAAAGGATATTTAACTTTACATTTTGGTCCCCTGCCATTTAAAAAAATAAAGATGGTATTTTTTTCAATGCTAATGTCACATTATCTTAAGATGACATTAACTTAATTTGATTTTGATTTAATTATTATTTAAAAATATATAGAGTGATTTTGTAGGGTGCTTTAATTTACTCATGTAGCATATATAATATATTCTTAGTGTCACATTAATACAAATTTAGTTTATAATTGGAAATGTAATTAATACAAATAGAACTCATTAACTTAAATTATTCGAAATAATTTAACTCGACTAGATCAAATACAAATCGATTAGCAAGTCACTAATATAATTTACGTAGATCTTCATACATAATAAATGATTCACGATGGATTGAAAAAGAGTTAACAAAGCAGAAATCATCGCTTGAACTAAATTCATTTGATAATGAACGATTAAATCACTGCATACGCAGTGGTCGAATTTGAAACCTCAAAAAATAAAAACAAGTCTTTTAATCGCTGAGGTTACTTAATAATAACGGGACCATTTTAAATATATATATTTAATCTCTGATTTCATACACATTGTTACAACATCTAATATTACCTCTATAATAATTAATGACAAAGTACATAAATGGTCTCCGTCTATAGGATAATGTTTTATTAAGTCCCTTAACTTTTAAAAAGTTATAAAATGATCCGTTAACTATAGGGAGTTATTTTTTTAAGTCCCTCGAAAATGACCGCTCGACTATTTATTATGTTCCAAACTCATCATTTTCCGTTAAAAAATTAATGATCACATGAGTTGGACGTTAACATGTTAACTGAGATATAATATTCATTTGAGATTATGAGATCAAATTTTATCATACCCCAGCTAGCAGGTTAACGTACAACTCAGATTGTCGTCAAAATTTTAACGGAAAAAGACGAGTTTAGAACATAATAAATAGTCGGATAATTATTTTATAACTTTTAATAGTCAAGAGACTAACAGAGTAACTTCTTATAGTCGGAGACCATTTTGTAACTTTCAACCACCGAGTTCGCTTAACAATAATAGGACCATTTTAAATATATATATATATATTTAATCTCTGATTTCATACACATTGTTACATCTAATCTTACCTCTATAATAATTAAGAAAAAATACATAAACATTCTCTGTCTACAGGATAATATTTTATTGAGTCCTTGACTCTTAAAAAGTTATAAAATTATCCCTCAACTATATGGAGTTGCTTTGTTGAGTCCTCGACAATTAAAAGTTACAAAATGACCACTCAACTATTCATTATGTTCCAAACTCATCCTTTTACGTTAAAAATTTAACGATAATCTGAGTTGGACGTTAACATGTTGACTAGGATATAATAGTCATTTGGGATTATGAAATCATATTTTCTCATATCTTAGTTAGCATGTTAACTTATAACTCAGATTGCCGTCAAAATTTTAACGGAAAAACACGAGTTTGGAACATGATAAATAGTCGGGTGATCATTTTATAACTTTTAATAGTCGAGGGACTGAACAAAGCAACTTAATATAATCGGGGGACCATTTATAACTTTTAATAGTCAAGTTACTCATGTCTCATTACAATTAATCTTTACGACTTATTAGATTTTTTCTCCTTTGCGGTTAAGAACTTGAAGAGCATTTTGTGCTTGTAAGGCTTCCCTGGTGAAATAATTTGTGAAGGGAAATTCTGGCGATTCACTGCATCAGGGAAGCCTTGAGTCTCAAGGCACAGCCCCGCATGAGTTTTATAAAGAAATCCTCTTTTTCCCTTCTCTTTCTTCAGCTTGTTCCCCGTATAGAATTGCACAGCAGGTTGATTCGTATACAGTTTCATGATCCTCCCGGTTTTCCTATCCTTCACCATTGCCGTTTTCTTCAGCTTCCGGGGATCGTTCGGTCCGTCGATGACGTAGTTTACGTCGTACCCTTTCCGGAGCTCCTCGATCCGGCTTCCGATCGTCTCTGGTCTGAGGAAATCGTACGGAGTTCCTCGTACCGTCGAAATAATGCCCGTCGGGATAAGGTTTTCGTCGACGGGCGTGAAATGGGAGGCGAAAATCTGGACTTGTTCGGACAGGATGTCACCACTGTCATGGTTACCGAGGTTCCAATAGGTATGCTGTGCTAGATTCACAGGGGTGGCCTGTTTTAATGCCCTGGCTTTCATCATCACTCTCAATCGGTTATCCGATCGGAGACGGTACTCGACGGTGACTCTAATTTCACCCGGAAATCCTGCGGAATGAAAATATATCCATAGATTTAAGTTTGAATAACTGTATCTGCAAAGTACGGGTATCTTTCTAACCTCGGGTGTATCTATCCATGGCTCACCCTATGCCCAAAAAAGAGTAAATTACTTATTTAGTCACTCATTTATTATTTATTTTTGTTTTGGTAATCTAACTATTTTTCATTTAAATCATATCTAACGTTATGTTTTAGTCTTATTTTGTCACTCGTCTTTAAAAAATTAACGGTGATATTGACGTCTTATCATATGATAATGTCACATCAGGGTTGAAAAATAATTAAAAAATGTCATGTTAGCATCATTGTTCATTTTTAACGACGGGTGACCAAAACATAACGTTGGTATAATTTTGAAAAAAAATAATAATCAAGTGACCAAAACATAAATTAGATAATATAAAAGTGACCAAATAGGTAGTTTACCCTAAATAAAAATATATGAATTATATTAGATGAAGTTTTTATTATAGTTATATTAGACCGATCCATAAATTTTTTCTAGATCCGTCACCGTTTATAAAAATGATCATATTTGCTAACCATTTTCGCCATCTTTGCTATCATAACCGAAGATAATGAAGGGTTCATCAGAATCATTCTTGATCTTCCTCACTTTCCAGATAACATCAGAGAATCCCTTAGGACCACCTAAAGTTTTCCATCAAAATTGCAACACAAAACACAGATCATCAAGCAAAGAATTTCGGATATGATTTAGGGTAAAGTACACAAATCGTCCTCTGACTATAGGACGTTACTTTGTTGAGTCCTCCAACTATTAAGAGTTATAAAACATCCCCGACCGTAAGACATTTCTTTGTTGAGTCTCATGATTATTATAAGTTACGAAAAGGTTATTTAACTATTCATATGTTCCAAACTTGTCATTTTTCGTTAAAAAAACGATGATAGTTTGAGTTGGATGTTAACGTCCGACTCGATGACCGTCGTTTTTTTAATAAAAACGACGAGTTTGGAACATATAAATACGTGTAACCTTTTGTAACTTCAACAGTTGATAGATTCAACAAAGCAGCATCCAAAATCGAGGAATTATTTTGTAACTTTTTATAATCAATGAGTTCAATAAAATATTTTTCTATAATTAGAGATCATTTGTATACTTTATGTTTTATTAGTTAATATTTAAGAGATTAGGTTTACCATGAAGTGTGCTGTTCCCATCATTTTTGGGCAGTTTATATTGAGCTCCACCCAAAGAAAAACTTGCACCTCCGATCCGATTCGCGACCCGTCCGACTATGGATCCGAAGTATGTCGTAGCGTTCTTGCAATATTTATGTCAAATTTCGAATAAATAGAAGAAGAATTTTTGATCAAATTACTATCAAATGAAGCGTTTGGAAAGATAATTTGTTACAGAAGATGAAAGAACTGCAAATTGTTTCGTTCAGGGATTTAAATAGTAGTTTGATAGCGGTCTAGCAATAGCGATGACATTCGAAATCACTACTGTTAGAAATTGCAGTGTGAAGTGAATTCATAACTGTTGTAGTTGTATTTTCGATCGTGTTGTATTTATTGTGGTTGCAGATATAATAAATGTTATTGTGATTTGGGGTTATTGTACCACATATGATTTTTTTTAAACTCGCATAAATTATAAATAGGGTAAATTACAAAAATGGTCCCTCGATTTTATAATACTATTTTGTTGAGTCTCCGACTATTAAAAGTTACAAAATGGTCGCTTACTATTCATTATGTACCACACTCGTCATTTTTCATTAAAAAAATAATGGTTGTATGAGCTGGACGTTAACGTAACAACTATCATATCTTAGTCAGCATGTTAACGTCTAACTCAGACGACCGTTGATTTTTTAACGAAAGATGACAAGTTTGAAACATATAAATAATAGGATGATCATTTCGTAACTTTTAATAGTTGAAGGATAACTGGAAACCATTTGTAACCTAAAGTCAGGGAAACATCGGTATACTTTTATCCTATAAAATATAATAATTTTAATTACTACAACAAACAATTGAAATTTCTTTTATCTTTCTCGTAATGGAACAATAACAAAAATAACAATATCTTATTTTCGTAATTGATTGTTACTCGTTAAATTACGATCGTGATCCATCGTTATTAATATAAATGCACTTATCGATTCGCTATTAAATACCTATCGTAACCGCAATTTAAATCCAAACATATATGCAAATTATCTCAGTGATTCTTCAAATCTCCATCGACAAAAATCAAAGCAAAGTCATGATGAAAATGAAAACTGCAAATGCAATCACAAAACAAAAGACTCACCTTATAATCCTTGACAGTATCATATCCAAGAACAATATCACCTCGTTTCCCTGGAAAATTTGCAGGAAGAAAGAAAATGAAAGAAAAATCCAACCCAGACAAGAAAACCCAAAACCAAACCAGACGAAAGGAACCGACCATGTCTGTCTGGGACAACAAGTGACATAATGGTGGCACCCCAGTTGGTGAAGTTAACAGACATGTTCCCATTCTTCAGCTCGAAAATTCTGATCTTCTCTTTCGATTTCCCAATGTCGTATTCCAGTTTTTCACCTTTGACGAAATCGAAAGCGACCACAAGCAGCAAAGAGAAGAAGAAACAAAGCTTATGCATTTTCTCGGGAAAAAAAACGATGATTGAGATTCACAAAGGATTTTCTGAGGAGTTTATAGGAATGATTGTTGAAGAGAAAAGAAAAAACAGATGATGATGATGACCGTGAAACCAAACAATAGGAAGCTAAATAAAGGATGGCGTACATTTAGATGTCATGGCCAAATATTCCAGCATCTTTGGATTTCCTAATTTTGAAGATAGTTTTTTGGGTAAAGTACAAAAATAGTCCCCGACTATGGGATACTGTTTTACTAAGTCCCTCAACTATTAAAAGTTATAAATGATCATCTGACTATTCATTATGATTCAAAATCGTCCGATTAACAGGATGGATTCAAATATTGAGATATCGAACACCCTGCAGAATGATGAAACGTACTTCGGGAACGTCGTCCGTCGAGTAGCGAATCGAATCCGAGACGGAAGATTTTCTTTGAACGGGAAGGAATATCAACTGAAGCCTAATGAAAATGGGAAACACTTGCTTCATGGCGGCCCCGGAGCATTGGCCGATGTTATCTGGGAAGTGAAGAAGATTAAGAAAGATGCTGACGTTCCAACCATTTTGTTTACTTATGATAGCCCAGACGGTGAAATTGGTAAGAAAAATGCCCTCAGATTATAACTTTTGTTCTAAATTATTCCCAAAACTTTTAAATATTTCAATTTCATCCCTAATTTACGACTAGCATTCTAAATTAGTCTTCAAACATTTGAACGTTTACTATGACTTTTATTTTAAATTGGTACCCAAACTTTTTAAACATTTCAATTTCATCCCAAACAATACACATATACTAATCATATCCTTTGTTAATGAAATCGTTAGGCCAAATTATGTTAGTATATGTTTGAGAAAAACTAAAATTTAGGTTAAGTTATACTTGAAACTAATTACATATCGGATGACTTTGGGGATGAAATTGAAAGTTCAAAACTATGAGGACCAATTTAGAATGAGGGTCATAGTTTGGAGATGAAATTAAGGTAATTTAGAATGAAAGTCATAATTTGAAGATGGAAATTGGAATATTCAAAAGTTTAAGGACTAATTTAAAATGAAGATCATAAGTTGGAGACATAATGCAATGAACTCCAATAAATTTGATCTCCGGTACATTTTACCGCAGGATTCACAGGCTAGGTTAAAGTCTCCGTCCTGTACATCATCCGTTCGGATCTCTGATTTGGAGTGACAATGAAAGCCAAAGCTATAAAACAACCTACCCCATTGAACTTAGTGCAACCAATCATAGAAGGATAAAAAAGGAGTGAAATATGAATATTTTGATATCAATCTTGCTGCGAAATATGATCGATGACAGGGGATACTTGGCTAACGACAATGACCGAAAAGTTCAGTGCTAAAAAAGAAAAATTATTTAGAAGTTCAAAGACAAATTCGCACGCCTTTAAAGTTCAGTGTCTAAAATGTTGTTTTAAGCTTCAAAATAGTCTCATCAAAACGATGTGATTTTGGTGCGACAAACCATGCTGGTAATAAATTGTCATGTCATTGTTCCATTAATGACATAACTGCATAGTATTATAATTGAATGTAAAACTAAAGTTCAATGTTATAATTGATAAAATTAAAAGCTTAGTGATATAATGAGTCAACGGGCAACATTTAATGATATCTGAAATAGTTTTTCCTAAAATATAACTCAACAATTTGTTAGTACAACATAACAAAACAGTGAAGAACAAAGTAAATAAAATAAAGGCTAGAAAATATAAAGAAATCAGAGTCTACACGTAAGACAGGCACGAAGAACATTATTGAAAATTAAAAAGAAACTCGAGAAAAAAACAACAACAAAGGACATAATATGAATAATAAGATAATTAATAATTAGTGCTACCGCCGACTAAACAAAAATCGGAAAGATATGGCCTTTAAATTGTAAGAAATACATTAATTTATATCATGTATTATTTTTTATTATTTTTGATATGATGTGATATATTTTATTAGTATTTTAGTGTCACATTAGGTTATAATAAAAAATACATTTAAAACCTTAAATTATACCGTTAAAATTAAAATTTAAACCCTAAACCCCAAATTATATATCAAATCATATGACAAACCTAAACTCCAAATTACAACTCCCACTCCAGCCACACCCTCCCACCGATGGACGTTGGCTCATCGATTACCTCACCCTCAAGTCATATAATCCTATGTGGCACTAAAATACTAATAAAATCTGCCATATCATATAAAAATAGGATTAAAAAAAACTCCACTGATTATATGGTGATATTTTATTGAGTCTTCCGGTTATTAAGAGTTACAAAATTGTCCCTTGACTATAAGACATTACTTTGTTGAATCCCCAACTATTTTCTAAACTCGTCTTTTTTTTATTAAAATATTAAAGGTAGTATGAGCTTAACGTTAACTTGTTGGTTCTAATATGATAAAATATGATCCCAAAATCTCAAACGACTATCATATCTTAGTCAACAAATTAACATTCAGCTGAAACTATCATCAAATTTTTAATGAAAAAGGACAAGTTGTGAACATATAATAGTTTTTGTAACTTTTAATAGTTGAGGGACTCGACAAAACAAAACCCTATAATAAGAGGATCATTTCCTAACCTTTAAACTTTAATAATCGCGGACTTAACAGAAAGCAATACCTTATAGTGTGAGAAGATAATTAAAAAGATTTAAACTTTGATTATTTAATTAAGAGTGAGAGTATAATTGAACGATGTAATTTATCATTCAAATATAATGACAGGTCGGTAGCAAAATGCGGGCTTTAAAAACTAAACCTTTCACGAAGTCAAAGCGTAGGATACCACAAATCGATATCTAAAAAACAAGAAAATAATTTAAGTGTTACATCGTAACATCTGTCATGTTCTCTTTAGTTTCCTAATTTTGGTCTCATGCACAACACTTATAAATTCCTCAGCAAATCCTTGTGAATCCCCGTCTTCGTTTATCTCAGAACATGGATAAGCTTTGTTTATTGTTATCTCTGCTTCTCGTGGGAGCTTTTGGTTTCGTCAACGGCGGAAAATCGAAAGAAAAAAAGATTTTCAACGTCGAAGTAATCGAGCTCAAGACCGGGAACATATCTGCTAAGTTCACCAACTATGGTGCAAGCGTGATGTCAGTTATTGTCCCAGACAAAAATGGTTGGTTCCTTTCTTTCTTGTTCGGATTTCGATTTTCTCGTCCGGGTTTTGATTTTCTTTCGTTTTCTCGTTCTCTGCAAATTTTCAGGTAAACCGGGTGATATTGTTCTTGGATATGACTCTCCCGATGCTTATAAGGTTGGTTTTATGAATACATATTGGATGTTGAAATAAAGGATGCCATGGAAACTAATTGATATCGAACACCCTGTAGAACGATGAGACGTACTTCGGAAACGTCGTCGGACGGGTCGCGAATCGGATTCGAGGCGGGAAATTTTCTTTGAATGGGAAGGAGTATCAACTGAATCCTAATGAAAATGGGAATCATTTGCTTCATGGTAAGCTTAATCTCTTGATATTCATTGATAGAACAAATTTCTGAATTTTTTTCATCTTAGGTGGCCATGGAGCATTGGCTGATGTTGTCTGGGAAGTGAAGAAGGTTAAGAAAGATGTTGCTGATCCCGCCGTTCTCTTTTCTTATGATAGTCCAGACGGTGAAAATGGTACTAATATACATAATCATTTTTCTTTTTTCTCGGCAATATGATTTTATTAGAAAGATTTAAATTAAACCTACCGTACATTTTGTTGTAGGATTCCCCGGCGAGGTCAAAGTCACCGTCCGGTACGTCCTCCGTCCAGATAACCGACTGAGAGTGACAATGAAGGCCAAAGCCATAAAACAGCCCACCCCTTTGAACCTAGTGCAGCATACATATTGGAACCTTGGCAACCATGACAGTGGTGACATCCTGTCCGAAGAACTCCAGCTTTTCGCCAACCAGATCACGCCGGTCGACAACCAACAAATCCCTACGGGCAAACTCGAACCGGTGAAGGGAACTCCGTACGATTTCCTCGAATCGAGGGTGATCGGGAGTCGAATCAACCAATTCCCGGGAGGTTACGACATAAACTACGTCATCGAGGGTCCGGACGATCCCATCCGGATGAAGAAAACGGCGATCGTGAAGGATCCGAGGTCGGGGAGGGTCATGAAACTGACCTCGAACCAACCGGGCGTGCAATTCTACACCGGGAACCTGTTGAAAGACGTGAAGGGAAAAGGGGAGTGGTTTATAAGGCTCATGCGGGACTCTGTTTGCTGACACAAGGCTTCCCTGATGCAGTGCATCACCCCAATTTCCCTTCCATAATTGTTTCACCTGGAAAGCCTTACAAGCATAAAATGCAGTTCAAGTTCACGATTGAATCGGACAAAGATAAAAAATCTGATGGCAAGAAATCCAATGCGAAGAAATCTGACAAATCTTGAGTTCGAACAGTTATGTTTACGTAATATATACATAAATATTTTTATTAAAATATACATAAATAATTATATTTATTCAAAATGAAAATAAATAATTGTATTTTTTTTTTATAAATGTGCATAATGGAATAACATTAGTGAGTGGTGCCTTTGAACATTGATTTTGGACCCAAACCCACTAACATTTAAATGTGGGCATTTGGGTAATGAAAAGTGTACAGGCTGTGCCCTTCCCGTTCTCCAATATTTTAGGTCAAATTACTTTCTAAATCCCTTTTATTTGTAGTTTGATATGTTTTAATCTCACATTACATATTGGTTAGAAGATTTATATATGACTAACACTACCAACATCAGTTAACGACAGTTAATAACGTGATGACTAATTTATAACGAAAATACAAATTTAATGTAATTTTATAACTTTTAAAAATTCGTTGACTAAAAAGCTCATTTGAGTATATTTTAGTATCGTTTAGCGATGATCATTTGTGAACTTTATCCTTAATTTTAATATGTAGAAAAAATTAAACATCAACCCGTATATTTTTAGTTTAATTAGTTCTTAAGTCCTTGTTTATTCTAAAATTAGATAAATTGAACTTGAATCTTATTTTTTTTAAATACTGCTTTTTTTGTTGCTAATTTTAAAATTAGACAAATTAAATTCTTATATTTTAATTTTTAAATTTTAAACTAATAATTTTAAAAAAATTGGTAAAACAAAAGAAAAACATCTCTCGATAGAGGTGAGCGAGTGCATAATTTTATGTCAAATGGCACGAATGTTGAGAAAAATATATTAGAAATTTATAGACACAAAATTATAAAACTTCAGGGGTGTGAAATTAGATGTCAGTATAAGTTATTAAAGAAATAACTAAACTATACAAGATTCTAAAATTTTCATGAGTGTAACAAACTCCCGACACTCTCTCGGCCCATCCCTAATCTCGAGCTCTGTCTTTTAATCCTTGAAAACATGCTCTCGAGCTGTCTTTGAATGGCAATGGCTATTTATAGAGAAAACAGGTTTTGTCATATGTTCGGTGAAAGTGCATTGTGTTCTACTTTATGTGGATTGTTGAAGACTCAAATTTAATGAAAAGTTGGTATTGATGTTGCTTGAACTTGCAGATTCATGGGCCTTAAAAAGTTGCAGCAAAAAAACAATGAAGCTCATGCGAGACAACATTATCAGATTTCATGCTTTACCTTTACATCGGGACGGACGTATGATTTTATGTTGAGATTAAATTCTAAAATTTTAAGGAGAAATCGGTTAAAACTGAATTAACTGACCGAACAAAAATTTCGATCATTTAATTTTGAGTTCAACCGGTTAATGGTTTTTGTTTAAATTTCGGTTATTGATTAATTCGGTTCAAACCGAATTAACCAAAATTATTGAATATTTAATATATTATATATAAATTTTGGTTAATTCAGTTAACTAACCAATTAACCGAACTTGGTTATGTTTGGTATTTTTTTTTGAATTTTTTTTTTGTTTCGATTAATGGTTAAAGGAAAAATTAATTAATAAATTTTAGGCAATTCGGTTCGGTTGATTAACCGAATTTGAGTGTACACTCCTCTCCTAATAATAATTTCGTAATCACATTTTAAATATTCAGTTATTTGAGAATAAACGTTCAAATGTCATACAATTGTTGATGCTCTAACTTAGAACCTTTGTGGATAATAACCATCCTTTAACCACTAAGATTGTTTGGTTCATGCACCCGATGATAATTTCTAACCCAAATATAAATTAGTTTTCTTAATCACCGACCAAGAAGCCATCGATTATTCCACATAAAACCCTAGCAATAGCTTATTGACCATAGGGTTGGAGATTAATGGACATCAAATTCCATCATTTAGTCAATAGCATACGCATGTTAATCATGTCATCGTCTCCAACACAAACAACAAACTCCAAAAGAATCCCGACAATCCCTCACCCATGTCGACTGGTTTCTTAAACATGAATTACTATAAATCAATCACCATAAAACAACCGGAAAATCAATACCCAAAGATCAAAGCTCTCCTTGTTCTTCTTCTTCTCCCATGTCTAGCAAAAGATCAAGTGGCAGCAGGAGCAATGGAAATGAAGATTTCAGCCTCAGGCTTAGAGAGCTTTCATCAACTAACAAGAAGAAGAAAAGAAATGCAGCTAAGGTAAGGTTCCATGAACCCCGTATCGACGGAACTGACGGGACGGTCAGTTGAAATTTCAAATTCCTATATAATTTAGGTATCTCCTTGTGTACATCGAAATGCAGGTTCTGGATGAAGCATGCAATCACATTAAGAAGCTGAACGGAGAGGTGGAGGATTTAAGCAATCGGATATCGGAGTTATTGAACTCGTCGGAGGCCGAAAACGGCGTTAATGCAGACATTCTTAGACAACTTTTACAACAATAATCACTGCAATTTTTGTTCTTTTCATTACAGTACTTATATGCGTCAAGTATAGTGATATACATACTTTGCATTTGAGTTGTTCCGGGATATTGTTGGCACCCAAGAGAACAAGCAAAGGGTAGTTTACATGTTTTGCTCTTTGGGATTTTGTTTGTTTGTTTCATAATGCAACAAAATACTCTTAACGTTTGATAATAAATTTTGAGTCAAAACCCCCTCATTAAATGAAAATCATTAATCAATTAACGGTCAACGACTGAACTGACTCAGTAAGAACATGTGGAAGGAGATGTTGATGTGGTGTGTCCAAGTCATAGTAGATGATGTCGTGATAGATTTGCGTGGACTAAATGCTGACGTGGCATGTCCACATGTAATGTCACGTCAGTTAATTATTTTTAAAATATTTTTGTTGGCGTGGCATCACACATGGACATACCACATCAGTATTTAGTTCAAGTGGATCTGCACTGCATCATTTATTATGACCTGGACACGTCATGTCAGTATATCCATTCACATGTTTTTGTTTAGTCAGCTCCAGACGTTGGTCGTTAGATGACTAATGATTTTTATCAACTGAGAGAGTATTTTGACTCAAAATAAAACGTTGAGATAATATGTTCCAAAAAATAGGGATCGAAATTGGCACTATTGTCAGACGTTCGTGACGTTTTGTTGCATTATACATTTTTGTTTTGTTTTTTATATTCCATTCCTGGTTTGATATATGATAAGTTTGATTTTTTTAAATAATATATATATATATATATATTGTAATATTTATGTGAACATCGATAATTTAAAATAATTAATCTTTTGAAATTTGAATGAAAAATTATGGGTAATAATGACATAAGAATTAAACTTATGTTCTGAATGTTGCTTTTCAAAGTTTAAGCAGACACCATTATTATTAGTATCTTATGTTCTCGGTTATATGCTTACTTGGACCAACAATATAATTAAACTTAGGGAATTAAAAAATCTATGATAATTGTTTAAAAATGATTTCATCCTGTTTGCTCTAATCATAAAGTAGATATCATCCCTCAAAATTAACACAATATGTTTAAATTTATACATTTAAATCAGAAAGATAAAACTACTCGATAAATTACTCACGTTAAGAGATTTGACTCAAATTTGAAAATCAATCTACTAATTACTAAAAAATCCGAGTTATTTGAATTATTATTCAAATTATTCGAGTTGTATTTTCAAACTCAATTTGAACTTGAAACTTTTTAAAATCAAATCATTTATAAAATTACAACTCTAAGCCAATTCAAATTGAATCTTTTCAAGTCAAGTTAAAAAAAATTAGTTTTTCGAGCCCGAGTTTTACTCAACCCTCGACCATATCTTAATCTCAAAACAACAAAATTGCTCAATTTAACATCAAACCCAAGACCACAAATACCAAACATCCACTACATTAGAGGTCCTGAAACAGAACACAAACCATGTCTAACAACAAAGGAAATGGTAATTTCTAAAAACAAGGGCATTTTTAAGGGTGTCCTAATGGTGGGGCAGAAGCTCATGGTTTACTCGTCTTCCTCCTCGTCACCGTCTCCACCAGCAGCCTTCTTGGCAGCTGCCCTCTGGTTCTTCCTCTTCACTCTTCCGGGCCGGCCACCTCCAACGGACTTGTCAGAGAGAAGTCAATATGTTTCTGGGAGTCAACCCTCACCATGAAGGATGGGATGTTTACCACCTGCCTCCCAACCCTATTAAGGTAATGGCCAATCAGGATACAAAATTCGGGATATCTTTCGGACAAACCAAAGAATCGGTCGAGCCACATACATATTCAACTAGGCAAAGCATAATAAGATAAATCACACAACTCGGAAAACGGAAGACACATTGGTGTCGTGACCGTCTTTCGGTTGGGTCCCGGAATTGGGCTTCGACGTAAATGAATCGGGTTAGAGTCGCCACCGACCATTTTAAAGCGAATTTAGGTAGGTCGGACACCATCTTACCTGATCTACGTTGTACCAGAAACGTGTCAGGCTCGGGAATCAGTTACGGTCAAGAAAAAATTAACACCCTTAAACCGCTCTTTCGATACTGTTTTAATTTGTCGGTTGTCTTAATTGCGAAAATTAAAATTTCAATTAAAATTTAAAAAATCAATTCGAATCATTACTTTTGATCGATTATAAAGTACCCCTAAAAGATTAAAAAGACGTTAGATTTACAAAAATACTGAATTAATCCAAAATGTTAAATCATTTACTTTAAACAATATATATATATATATTGATATAAACATTCAAGTTAACTCCCAAAAATGCGTAAAAGTATAATGCAACCATTTTTAACAACATTCGGGACATAATATTACTTAATAGATGGATAAAACCTCCATGAACTCACGTCCTCATCTTTTAGCATGTGACAAAACAAATGTTCTCACCAACATCTGAAATTCTGATGGAAACTGAATTCCTTGGTGAGTGAGACACCAAGTTCAGCCATACAAGTTTGAACTAGATCATCGGAGCCGTACAATCCCGGGTACCTTTGAATACACCTGTCTGGCATCTTCGACAAAGCCTCGGCCAATGGGTAGCTAATGGTTGCGGTGTGGTCGCGATTAACTGGAAGTTCTTAACTGATGCAACGGTTACTCGCCCTCGGAAATTCAGGCACAAACACCGTGCCATCTAGGGAGCTTGTTTTTCAGGACCAAGGGTTTTGTATGGAAAAATAGAGAGATTCCGAGCCATGGGTCCTCTTCCGTTTTCGAGAAACCGATACTAATGAAAGCGAGGCGGCGATTTGTTGCAAGGAGAGCAAATGGTGGACGATGGCAAAGGCGTTGTTGCCATGGGAGATGAAATGGCGATTGTTGTCGTCGTTTTTTTCGAATCAAAGAGGGTGATGATTAGCGGGAGGAGCAGAGGGGGGGAAGTTGGTGAATCAGAGGGGAAGAAAGGACCAAATCATTTGACACCACCTGGCCTCATTCATCATGGTTTCTTTGGAGTTTTGTTACTGCTTCCCCCCATGGATCTGAAGACTCACTTTAAAAATTAAAAGCTCAGAGCTTTTTACCATCAAAGAGAGAAGAAGCCCCTCTTCACGTGGCCCCCCATGGCCATTTAAAGGTGTAAATATATAGGAAACATTTGAAATTGGTTAAAGGAACGTGGATAAGTTGGATGAAAATTGGCCTCCACTTACCCCGAGCATTCAGAGACCCATTAACCTGCAACACTTCACCATTCATTGTGGTTCCCTCCTGCGTGGCAAAATTTTGGGACGTGCCCTTGCATGGCGTGAAAGAGGGCAGGAGCATTTGTGGTAGGGTTGATTTCTGTGGTCAAGGAGGCATTGTTGTAGCTGGCTCCTACCACCGAAACGTGGTTCCTTGCATTAAAAGTTCTTGAGTCTAGGTGAGTGATATTCGGCCTTGAGTGTCCCGGATTTGATGGCCCAATCCTGATATGTTTTTTATCATCCACGCACAACTTGGGTTGCCACACATTCAAATATACCGAGGCCTGTAAAATAATTGTAATATATAAATTATTAAAATAAAATAATAATAGAAATAATAATAATAATAATAAATAAATAAATAAAAAGTATTTTCTTAAAAAACTATATAATATAAATTTTTAAAAATGCTTCTTTAAAAACTATATATTATATATAAATTTTCAAAAAAGTTTTTTTTTAAAACTATATAATTTTTAAAAACGTTTTTTAAAAATATATAATTTCCAAAAATGTTTTAAAAATTATATATTATATATAAGTTTTCAAAAATGTTTTTAAAAACTATATATTATATAAATTTTCAAAAAATGTTTTTAAAAACTATATATTATATAAGTTTTCAAAATGATTTTAAAAAGTATGTATTTTCAAAAACCGTTTGCAAACAATATAATATATATATATAATATGAACGAAAATGAGTGTCTACAATTGGCGCATCAACAATTGGCCAAGAAATTTCAATAAAAGTAGATCCCGTAATTTGTCCAAAAGAAAGAATGATCTCTAAGATTAAATAGCGAAGACATGCACCGCTAACCCGAAGTAGCATTTTAGCTGATGAAGCAAATTCATCAGATGTGAATTGCTGAACATACTTTTAAACAGTCATCGAATGTAAACACATGACAAAAGATGCTGCGCATGCAATAAAAAAAGAAGTAAAACTTTACCTGATATGCCTTTGCCTGATCAACACACGAGCATGGTGAATCGACTTGGCCATACCAGACTTGAACACGAGGGTCTGCAGGCGGCGTTCAAGGAAGTTCTCGACAGTCAAAGCCAAGACATAATCGAGCTTGTTCTGGCTCTCATCCAAAAGCCCATACCTGTTCATCCTACGCAGAAGTGCCTCACCTTCGAAGATACGACGAGGGTTCTTCTCATCGAGAGTGAGAAGGTCCCTAGCGGCATTTCTGATACGGCTCAAGGCATACTGAACCCTCCACAACTCCCTCTTACATCGGAGACCATACTCTCCTACAAGCCTCAACTCGGCATCAGACGTTCCTTCTCGACGCCTCGGCTTCTTAAACGTCTTCCCATCTACAAACCGCATCGATTTCACCGATATATAAACAACTTCTAACAAAAAAAAACACAATTTAACCTAACCTCAAATGAAGCTAAAACAATCACACAGCTAATCGGTATTTGATTCTTCTTAGACTAATCAACAGAAGCAGCAAAACCCATTAATCTAAACAAGAAAATTCCTCATTTATGAATCTATAAATTACATTTAATCAAACAATCGAGCTAATGGCTTTGATACATACAAGCTGCAAAATTCCCCATTTAAGTCAATTATATTAATCATGAACACACATTTATGAGAACCCAAAAACAATCAAACTGGAAAATCGATAAGTTTTCATGGTTATGATGCATACTGAAACTAAGCAACGAATTTGTGTTAAAAACAGATGCAAAAGAAAGAGGGAAGAAAATCGAAGAATGGGCTTAGCTTACAGTTGCGGTAGAAACTGACGTGAACCATGGCGGCGGTGGCGCGGCGGCTAGAAAGCTAAAGAGACAAAAACCGGGGGAAATGAAGGAGGCTGAAGGAGTGGTCTTTTTATATATCTACAGAGAAATACTGAACCCTATTGTTTCCCAGGTTTGGATAAATTGCATTTAGTACTTAAACTATCAATTTTAATTTGTTTTAACTTTTAATTTTTTAAAAATTTAACGTTAAATTTTAAATGAGATACTAAAATGAAACAAAAATTAAAAATTTTAACATAAGAGTACTAAAATAAAACAAAATATAAACTTTAGATATGATTTTTAAAAAATTAAAAGTTAGATATTAAAATATTCTAAAATTAATAATTTGAGTACTAAGTACGTGATTTATCCCTTTTTTGTTGGCCTTTATTGGGTCTAAATGAATGGAACTTAAATGAATAAGACAGTGCTTACGTTTTTTTTTTTTTTTAAATATGTTCATATTGGTTCGTATTTTTTTTAGTTTTTAAATCATATTTGAGTTTATTTGTTACTTTTTTTTAAGTATTTATTTTTGGTTTATTTAACGTTACGAATATGTTCATTTCTACGCTCATCATCATGTTTGTTTAGCGTGCAAACATGTTCATTCATATATTCAGTAAGATGTTAAAATTATGTCACTAATCCTTAAGCTTCTTAGATTTCACAACTTGAACTCTAAAATTCACTATATATTCAATTTAGTCTATACATTCACCGACATAAAGTGTAAAAAATGTAGAATCGAATAAACGAGTCAATAAACAAGATTATAAATGAGCCAATAATGTACTTACAAACGAACTTGTTTATGAACATAACGAACTAAACATACTATTCGTGTTTCCTCCTGAAAGGCTTCACTTCTGCCACTGATAATGGACCCTGTAATTGCTCCTCGTTCACGGTTTCATCCGAGTTTCGTTTGATCTCGATGTCAACGAGGAACGCCTCTTGTTTCCGATCTTCAGGGTTGCTTAAAGTAGCTTCACTTTCATTGTAACCATGACGGAGATAACTAAGTAGACTTTCATCTTGATCTGCAGGAAATGACTTGGGAATTTGGCTTTCATTAAGCTTGATTCCCTCTTTCGGAATGTCGCCATTCGAAACATTCCTCGGATTCATGATCTTTTCTAATGCCAAAAGTGCAACGCCACAGAATCTGCAATCTTTGTTCCTGCTTCTTGTTTGCCTGCAAATCCAGTCGAATTTTAGTACCATTCTTTGTTCCTTGAAACACAAGAAAAGATTGTTTAAGGTCATTAGTTAGCATAACCTTTACGGAACAGCTCGAATCCTTTAATCAGATGACGTTGGCTAACTGAAGGTTGGGAAAGTAGAGATGCCAGAAGAGCATGCAATGCTGCAAGCAAGAAATCCGGTCCATCGGATGACGTTACTTCACTCCTTCATCATTTCTCCATTTCCCATCATAAGTGATTTCCGCAACATTCATCAGCAGATCATCGACACTCGGTTGTAAATCCGACCTTAACACGCCACCCTGCAGAGTGATTGGTAATTACACTTTTGCTTGATTCATTCAAAATACCAAAGCTGGACCATTCAAAGAGAAGTGATATACCATAGTGACGAGAGTTTGAAATGCCTTTAATGCAGCAATCTTCAATGATAAAGGAGAGGTTGCGGATTTGTTTTGCAGATTCGAATAGTCCATATCTCGACTCTCCTGCGAGAATTGATTGCAGCGTGCTTCCTTTTCCTGTCAGCAGGCTGCATCGGTGCTTCAACCGTCGCAGATTTTTGCCTATTTAGATACCAAGAGGAATCTAAATCGAATACTGCACTAATGGTGAGTTCTTCTGCAATTTGCAAGGCTGCCCCTGCATAGGATCAAACTTTCATTAATTCGTGCATCGGATCCGTTTTATGATTTCGCAAAGTTCGTTGCATACCGATACCGATAGATATAAGCAAAGTCCTTATGATGAAGTAGAGTTTTGTTCTTAGCATTGTCAATGCACATTGTTTCAAACAATCTTTAAGTAGCCTAATGATATATCCAGCATGGGGCAATAGTTGGCTGCAACATTGTAATACAGAACCGGAACGTTATCGTCAACAACTGGAAGCAAATATTTGTGTCGGGAGATATATCTATACCGACACTCGGACCCAAGTCCGAGTAACATACCTGGATGTTCTTTTGATGATTGCAGATAGGAGATCTAAACCACATGGTTGCAAAGCAGGGAGCTCAATGAAACCATATCCTTCCTGCATGATTTCCATGGACTTCGATGAAGTTCGAGAAAAGAGCCATTCACCATTAGCACTCTCTTTACAAGAGTTAATAATCGATGAACCGGAAGAGTCACCTGTCCGACAACAAATACGATCTTTTACTTCACACGAGATCGAAGTGCGAGAAGATGTTGTCCTTTAAAAGCATTGATCGATTACTGTCGGATTACCTGAACTGAATAAGAATTCGTTAGCATTGTGCTGCAGCAAAGCATCAGTGTGGGGATTATGCATGGCAGCATATGCTTGGACTTTTCTTGCTTCTAGATATGCTGCTCTTTCTGGCGCTAAAAAATGACGAATCGACATGATTTCGTTACGTTTATCGTCTGCAAACACGTCGAACGCTTTCAAAGCAGAAATGATTACCTTGTTCCAGGCATTGAAAGACATCATTGAGGTGAATTTCAACTGAAGTTAGTAAATCTTGCATCATAACAAACCAGCTATCCTTGTCACCTCTCGATTTCGGAAGTGATGCTAAGAAATAAAAGTGTAGCTCTATACATCGGAAATCAAACCAAAAACGAGCTCATATATCGATATGGATTTTGATACGTATGAAATTGGATTTATCGCAGATATCGATATATATAGAAATAACACTTCATTCACCTTCATCATATTGGAACTGCACTGGCCTGAGACGATTTTCGAAACAATGACAGCTTCAGCCTGCAAAGCATGAGATAGCTGAACATGAAGGCTTTCGATTACTTGCATTACAATCAAGCTTAAAAAACAATCTGCGAAAGCGAGGAACCGTAAAACACGAGCTAACCTTTTCGTAATGAGGAAGAAATGATGCAGGTAAGAAGTCAATTACGATACATAGCACTGCAAGTGCTCCTTCCTGCACAACTAGGCAATCGTTGTAGCTTTCGAAATCGATATAGTCAAGACTAATAAAACAGAAAACGACATCAGTTAGAACTTGCCATTACCACCTCTGAGAATTCATTGTCTAACAGATGGTCCAAAACCGGTTGAACGAGCTTCCCGGCGTGCACCGTTACATCCTTCTTGATTTCTGAATATTTACCCAATCTGAAGTAGGAAACAAGAAAACACCGGTTTCAGAGCGATGAAATCTATGTTACATGGACTCGGTTGTGACCTGTGAGTGTCGGATTTTTTGGTGTTTATTCGAAAAATGAAAAGCCGGAGCAACATAAGATGAAATCACCTCTTTAACAGATCCGATCAGGAAGCAAAAGTGGCCACCTTGATAGAAATATAATCTGATGCTGGCTGCAAACATCACCAAGAACGACAAGTCATGCTCGAAAATCAATAACCATATGAAGATACAAGTAAAATATGCTGCCTATAGGAGAGCTCATGCCTGGATATTCTCGACGAGTTTTCCGAACCAGACTGGATATCATGCGAGCAGCCGATCGGAGCTGCATTCTCGACAAGTCACCCCTAGTAAACATATTCCGGTCCAACGATTTCGCGACTGTGACAGAATCGAACAATGATTCCTAAAAGAAACCACGTATGTAGCATATCTGCGACAAACTAGAACCTTAAAAACAACAACACTGACCCTGGGACTAGACTCAAGTGAAAGCACCCGATCGAGCCACGAATCGAAGGCAACAGCCCAATCCTCGGAGATCTTCGATTCAGAAAGCAACCCGAGGGTCCTAATGGCATTGACAACTCGCTGCAAATCACAGTGTTGAGGTGAAGGGTCGGTTTCATCAGGAATTTGGTCGTTCATTAGGTAGTCTAGCATCCTCGGCTTCGATTTAACATCGAAAACATCATGGTACTCAATCGAAAGAGAAGACACAAAACTGAAGTATGAGATGTTTGAGGTGAAAGCGTCTGCTGAATTTTGAAGGTTTAGAAAGTGAGAGTTGTAACTGTTGAGTCATGGTTTGTTGTGTCTCTTTGGCTGGTCATGTAACGCTTGTTTGATTTGGGACAACTGTTCTGGTGAATATCACCTAAAACAAAACAAAACCGGTTAAAAATCTTTATCACTTGAGGTCATGAATTCGAGTAGATGCGTGTATATGGTGTGTGTTAAAAGAAAATTTATGAGTAGATAATGCTTTATAATCACTCAAACTAATAAAAAAATGTAAATTATACTTTTAATACCTAAACTATAATTTTGGTCCGTTTGAGTACTTAAACTTTCAATTTTCTTAAAATCATGTCTAACATTTAGTTTTGTTTCATTTTAATACCTCGCCGTTAAAAACACATTGTATATTTTATGGGTAAATTACATCATTCATCACTCAACTATTTTCTCACTCTATTTTGGTGCTAAAGTTTAAAAAATTCAATTTAACTAGTCGACTTTTAAATTGCTCCTATTTTAATTACTGTGACATAACATAATTAAATATAGGAAAAATTAGGAGTAATTTGAAAGTTAAGAAATTAAATTTAAAAAAAATAAACTTTAGTGACCAAGACAGGAGCGAAAAAATAGTTGAGTGATGAATAATACAATTTACCCATAGAAAAGGTGTCATGTGCAAATCACCCGTTAAGATAATTAATAGTGAGGTACTAAAACGAAATAAAAATTAAACATTAGGTATGGTTTTGAAAAAAGTGAAAGTCTAGGTACTAAAACATTAACAAATTTGATAGTTTAAATACTAAACGTGTAATTTACTCATAAAAAATTAAAGCATCTTTAGAATGTGGAATCAAATAAATTTAGGTAACAACTTATTTTTCGATTGAGCTTAACATGATTGACATAATCGTTAATATGATATGATAAATGATTTTATCTATTTCTATGACATGTATCTTGTTTTTTTTATAACAACTGGTGGTTTCCGATCTATTAATCGACTAATCCGGATCAAGTATTGTAAAGGCGAAGTCGACTCCCAACTCAGTTTGCTTCATTCGTCTATAACACAACTAATGTGTTAATTTACCGTCGTCTTGGTAGACTCTTCTTAATGTTTAGTGATTAAATTGAACACGGTTTAAAAGTTTAGTGATCATTAATGTAGTTTACTACTAGTTTACCCATATGAGTAAAACAAATAAAATGAAAGCTAAATTACGTATTTGGTACCTAAACTATCTGCTTTGATCTATTTTAATACTTAAAAATTCATTTTTTTTCTAAATTATATATAATATTTAGTTTTTATTTAATTTTAGTACACCGTTAAAAACTTAACGAACAGGCTCGCCGTCCCTCACGTCTACAGTCATCAGCCTTCACATCCATCGACCAATGAAGTCCAAACTTTTCAGTTCGTACCTTTCCGACCCATTGAACTTGATTACGGTCTCTATTTCACTGGAAAATATTTAGTCTCCCCAAATCGACAATGACTCTTCAACTTCTTCATCCTTTGATCTCTGTCGTCAACCGTCTGATGGACTTGAAACTAGACTATGTTGGTCGACTCGTCGTTCTCTCGCGATCCACTGTTCATATTAATCATCCGTCCACGGAGCTATGTCATGTTAGCCTGTCCATTAAGTTTTTAATCGCATTGTACTAAAATAAAACAAAAATTAAACGCTAGGCATGATTTTTTTTTTAAAAAAAAGGTACTAAAATAGGTCAAAACTGATACTTTGGGTATTAATATGTATTTTACCCTAAAATGAAAAGAGGGGCAGAAGAGAAAAACACTCGAGGAAACTCAAATAAGCAATTTCAGAGCTATTTTTCTTCCCCATCAATATCTTCCATAAACCTTCAAATTCCCTAAATCAAACCTTTAATTCCATAAAACCCAAAGAAATTCCATATTTCTTTACTCTTATCTCAAAAACCCAGTAATTCAATTCTCCGAACCAGCCCCCCTTCTCCCATGCCTTTAAGCTCGTTTGAATCCGGGTCAATATGAACTCCGATTCAAATTCCGGTCTCAAAGGTTAATCGGGTAGGAATCGAGGTGGGTTTTTGATTTGGAAGCTTGATTTTTTGGTTTTCAACAAAGAAAGTTAGAGAGAGAAAAAAAGGAGAGAAAATGAGTGCTCAGAAGAAAAAAGCGTTTCAAATAGAGGCGTTTAAGCACAGGGTTGTGGTGGATCCGAAATATGCAGAGAAAACGTGGAAGATTCTTGAACATGCGATTCATGAAATTTATAATCATAATGCCAGTGGACTTAGCTTTGAAGAGCTTTACAGGTTAGGAATTTGTTCTTCTTTCCCTTTCTTGTAATATTTTTAATGTAATTTTGTTGAAATCGCGTCCTTTGGTTGTGTAGTGATTGTGATTTGAAGTTTAGCTGGAATTTTAGTTTAATTTTGTTGAATTTGAGTTCAGTAATCTATGTATTAGGCTATTATGAGCAGGGATTCATATTGCGGTGATTGCGGGGACCGTATTCCTACAATAACCGCCACCGCCATATAGCGACGGCTATCGTGGTTGCGAGCCGCCATTTAAATCCCTGATCAGGAGCTTTTAACTGTATATCCGATATGCTTAGTTAGTTTACTTGATCATCATGTACTTGTGACGAATGAGGTTCTGATGATCGAATCTGATGATCAAAGATTCCATGTTCGTTATGCAATGAAATGGTTTAATATTGTTTCGATGTGTTGCCTTGAGCTCTGCCATAGAAATGTGTCTTCAACATTTGCAAAAATTTAAGATTCTGATATCGAAGCGTTGATGTAAAACAGGAATGCGTACAATATGGTACTGCACAAATTCGGGGAGAAGCTGTACTCCGGGCTTGTCACAACTATGACTTCTCATCTAAACGAGACAAGTAGTTCGATCGAGGCTGCTCAGGGAGGATTATTTCTGGAGGAACTTAACAGAAAATGGGCAGAGCATAACAAGGCTATGCAAATGATCCGAGATATATTGATGTACATGGATAGGGTTTCATCCCGAACGCCCACAAAACCCCGGTTCATGAGCTTGGGTTAAATTTATGGACGGACGTTGTCATCCATTCCTATGCAATCCAGTCTAGGCTTCAGGCTATACTTCTTGAAAATGTAAGGAGAGAACGGAGCGGTGAAGTCATAGACAGGGGTCTAATGAGAAGCATCACGAAGATGTTAATGGATCTAGGTCCTTCTGTTTATCAAGATGATTTCGAGAAGCATTTTCTTGAAGTTTCAGCTGATTTTTACCGTCTCAAGTCTCAAGAGTTGATAGAGTGTGTGATTGTGGAGAATATCTAAAGAAAGCCGAGAGACGTCTAAATGAAGAAATAGATAGAGTCTCGCATTACTTGGATGCCAGAAGTGAAGTCAAGATAACAAATGTTGTAGAAAAGGAGATGATTGAAAATCATATGCACAGGCTTGTGCAAATGGAGAACTCAGGCTTGGTTAACATGATAGTCGACGAAAAATATGATGACCTAGGGAGGATGTATTGCTTGTTCCGTCGGGTACCCAATGGGCTTGTTTTAGTCAGAGATGTCATGACTTCGTTCAATCGTGATACTGGTAAGCAGCTAGTTACTGATCCCGAAAGGCTGAAGGATCCTGTGGATTTCGTGCAACATCTGTTGGATTTAAAGGATAAATACGACAAGATCATCACTGCAGCATTTAGCAATGACAAGACTTTTCAAAATGCATTAAATTCCTCATTTGAATATTTCATCAATCTGAATTCCCGGTCTCCGGAATTCATCTCATTGTTTGTAGACGACAAGCTTCGGAAAGGTTTGAGGGGGGTTACCGAAGAGGATGTTGAGGTTGTACTCGACAAGGTGATGATGCTCTTCCGTTACCTTCAAGAGAAAGATGTCTTCGAGAAGTACTACAAGCAACACTTGGCAAAAAGGCTTCTTTCAGGGAAGACCGTCTCTGAAGATGCCGAAAGAAGTTTGATTGTTAAGCTCAAAACAGAGTGTGGGTATCAATTTACATCAAAATTGGAGGGTATGTTCACTGACATGAAGACATCACAGGATACGATGCAAGGTTTCCATGCAAGTCATGGTGCGGATATAGCGGAAGGCCCCACCCTTTCCGTCCACGTTCTCACTACAGGATCTTGGCCGACGCAACCTATTACTACATGCAACCTTCCTGCTGAAATCATGGGCATATGTGAGAAGTTCCGGAATTACTACCTTGGGACCCATACTGGACGAAGACTCTCTTGGCAAACAAACATGGGGACGGCTGATTTGAAGGCAACCTTTGGTAAGGGTCAGAAGCACGAACTGAATGTTTCCACGTACCAGATGTGTGTCCTTATGCTCTTCAATAATGCGGATCGATTAAGCTATAAGGAGATCGAGCAGGCGACCGAGATACCTGCCCCGGATTTGAAAAGGTGTTTGCAGTCTCTTGCCTGTGTCAAGGGAAAAAATGTGCTCCGGAAGGAACCTATGAGCAAGGACATAGCAGACACTGATAACTTCCTTTTCAATGACAAGTTTACAAGCAAATTCTTCAAGGTCAAGATAGGCACCGTGGTTGCGCAAAGGGAGTCCGAACCCGAAAATCAAGAAACAAGGCAGAGAGTGGAGGAAGATCGAAAACCGCAGATAGAGGCTGCAATAGTGAGGATCATGAAAGCAAGACGCGTGCTGGATCATAATAACATTGTTGCTGAGGTCACGAAACAGCTACAGTCCCGGTTTCTGCCCAACCCCGTCATAATTAAAAAACGAATCGAGTCCCTTATCGAGCGGGAGTTTCTGGAGAGAGATAAAAGTGACAGGAAATTGTATCGCTACCTTGCATGAGAGGAAATATCGTCTCCCCTTGCCGGAGCTTTGATGCCTTTTATTGCTTTCGAGTTCCAATATCGGACCTGCTTGCCCAGGTCTGTGTAATATCACTTCCATTTCATGAATTTACAGATTGTTTCATGAATCATAATCAGTTCAGGTGAATTCTTGATGTATGTATCGATTGCATTGTGCTGCTTTAATTCACCATTTGCTTATTTTTGTATTAAACCTTATTTATATGTATAATAATAGATTGGGTAAAGTACACAAAAGGTCTCTCAACTATAGGGTGTTATTTTATTGAATCTTCTGACTATTAAAAGTTAGAAAATAGTCTTCTACTATATGGTGTCTTTGTTAAGTCCTTCGACTATCCAACATCTTCATAGCATTATATATTACAAATGAATTTTCTAGCATTCGACTTCGTACCGTTGGAGAATTTAATCGCACACTTGAAAGATAGCCCAAAAAGTCGAGGGACTGTTGTGCAACAACATTTAGAAGGTGTGTTTATTATTAATGGTTTAAGAAAAATTTTAAACAAATATTGATGTTACTAAATTTGTAGTCAGTAACAAAACAATGATATTGTAATGGACTTGAATTTAACAAAAGTGAAGGGACTAAATTTCTAAAAATTAAAGTATAATGACTAAACTCCAAATGCATAAACAACTCTCTTACTACATATTTTCACAAATATACAACCCTCCTCCAAAAAAACCATGGAAATTGACAAATTGTGATAGTTTAAAGATTCAGCATGCGAATTTTGCACATCTTAATAATCCTAAAATATTATGGTAAACTATAAATTTAATACCTAAACTATTACTTTTGTTCCGTTTTGACACCCAAACTTCATTTTTTTCCAAAATCATACTTAACGTTTAGTTTAGGTTTTATTTTAGTAACCCGTCGTTAAAAATTTAACGGTAATGTTAATGTGTCACCATAAGGTAATGTCACGTCATCATTGAAAATAAAAAATGTCGCATCAGTAATTCTATTAAATATTTAACTTCTTGTATCAAATTGAAACTTAAATTAAACAGTATGGATGGTTTTGAAAAAAAAAAGTTTAAGCACCAAAATGGAACAAAGTAATAATTTTAACTTGGAGACCTGCTCATGAACTTACTTCTTCCAAAATCACTGCAACTTCCATGCTCTCACTGCCCCTTTGAATCTTTAAGATTACCTTATCCCCCACATTGTATTCATCCAATATTTTGCTTAACTCTCCTTTGTTTTTAACCTGAATACGAATGTCGTACTATTACCGGCACAGAATCGTCAAAATTATTCGAATGCATGTAGCCATCGAGAACAATGAAGTTGATATCAATATTGACAAGGAAGAACAGATACTCACCGGTTTGTTGTCAACTGCAAGAATGATATCCCCGAGTATAAGATTACCTGCGAAGCCCCTGTTGGTAGGGAGTAGTCCGGCCTTGGCTGCAAAACTGTTGCCGGGAACCTAAAGACCCGTGTTCCAAATGTAAGAAAGTTCACATCTTTATCAACAGCACGGTTGTACTTTAAAAGTTCGATCTAAATTTGGGGTACCTGGAGGATAAGGGCCCCTTTTCGAACATTAAGTTGATTAGCAATCAGGTCGGGAGCGATTTCGATATTCAAACCTGCTCGAACAGCCTGCAAGTGTATTAACAATGAGATAGGAAGCACTAAAGCTTGTTCACATGCTCAACTCTTGATAATGATACCCATCATCGTTTTAGACCCGAATATTTCAGACGTGCGTTGAGTGATCGTTTAACGCAGAGTAGGTGAAAGTAAACGGTCTTTATCAATGAGACGTGAAATGGGGGAGACCAAGAATTTTACCATTAATGAAACTTACTTTGCCGAATTTGATCAGCTGAGGTACAATCTTGAGCACAGTGGAGGACGGAATGGCAAAACCTACACCTGCCGATGTGCCTGAAATATGAATACCAAAATCGGAATGCGTTATGTTAACTGGACCAGGTGTGAGTTCAGATACAGGTCTGGTATGAGTATGGTGAAATTTTTTAGATATTTTTCACGGCAATCGGAGGGTCATTTTCTCAAACCGATGCCTGGATATGTGTCTGACACCAACATATGCAATAAAGGGCGAAAAACATCGAATGACCTGTCTGTGTGAATATAGCTGTATTAATTCCAATCAAGTTCCCTTTTGAATCCAACAAAGGACCTCCACTGCAACAAAAGAAAGAGAACCAAGTAGCAGCTGCAGTGAAAAACTTGTTTAAAGACTTTACTTTAAAGAGGATTCGACAAATCATTTGGCGAACCTGTTTCCGGGATTGATGGCTGCGTCTGTTTGAATTCCGCCTCCAATTGTTACTCCGGTTTGACTAAAAATGTCTCTATTCAATCCACTGATAACACCAACGGTAAGGGTATGATCGAAACCAAATGGATTTCCAATCGCCAGACATTGCTGCCCTACTCTCAGCGAAGATGATTGCCCGACCTTAATTGGTCTCAACAAATCTTCCGAGGCTTCTACCTAGCAATGTTGAAGAGATCAGCATCAGTTCATTATAATCTTTTCAGCAAACTTGCATATTATAGAGCGAATGTACAATCTACGTTACTCGGATTTCGGGTTTGAGTATCAGACACATGTATGTGTTTGACACAAGTATGTTCAATTCGAGAAAACATACCTTTAAAACAGCAAGGTCTTTGGTGCGATCGGCACCGATCAACTTTCCCTCAAAATTCTTTTGTACCCTTTAAAACAGCACTTAAAACAATAAGAGAAACAGCTGGACCACTCGAAATTTCAATACAAGATAATGAAACTAAGTTTACCAGCAAAGGCTAAGGGCACTGAGATCTCACCCATCAGATGCTAGGATATTAACTCGTGCAACGACTTGCCCTGGACTTGGATTTCTCGAGAGGGAATTACCTATCACTGAACATACAAACAGAACGGTTAACCTGATACAGATTACATCGGAGGATGTTTCCGTTACGCATCAAATAAGATTCTCTGGTTCCTTATATAATCATGTATACTCGTCAAAGCAGATAAATGCTATGGAAAACAGATAAGTCAATTGAACTGTTGTCCTTGATCGATATATGGTTCTCTGAGTTCATCTATCAGCTCTTACTGTTATAATCTAAGGAAATAAATCGAAGGCGAGGGAAAGAATAAACGAGGTAATGAAAGAGAAATCTGATTATTGAATTTAGGAGACCAAAGACGTATCATAAATGACTCGTAAACAAACAAGACTTCTACATGGTTGATTCTAACACGTACCATGATAGTTTGTCACAATATGCCCCTTTTCATCCCAGACGACCCCCGAACCGTTTCCTTCTGGAATCTGCCAGTCAACATAATGGTGTCCTTTGATGAGTTAATTAGCACGACGGCATTTTAACGTTAGTTCCACAAAATACTTAAGCGTATGTGTGCATAAGAGAGCAAGAGTCATAAGCATGGTCCTGTGAATAAGAAATATACCTCAACAGCACCAGTTATATTAAGTTGAGGGCGCAACGTTACATCGAATATGTTGACAACAGAGTAGGTATTGTTTTCAAAGAGTCGGACGATTCGTTCCTGCCAAATCGATACATACAAGTTCAACATGTGGTAAATACCAAGAAAGAAGAATCCGAACTATAAACTAATCACTGAATTCCAAAAGGGGCACAATAATTTTTGTTGAAAATGAACCTCGGAAGGGAAGAGAGCTCCAGAAGGGAACACCGTGGGAGTTACATCTTCAACCGTCACCAATGGATCCCCCAACGCTAGAGCTGCACATCCACAATTCATCCGATCATCAGAAGCAAATTGCTAGAAGTACAGAGATAGTACAAAGGAAGGTATGACATAAAACTCGAAGCGTCCACCAACACCGCATCCTTTGAACAACACGGTTCCCATTTATCACTTTTTTTTTGCACATTCTCAAACTATAAAAGTGGTTTTCGATTTATTACAGCTACGAATTTTACTGACAAGTGCATTCAAATAGATGAAACCAGATTTGAACTCAATGACACGAGTAAACTAGGTAGTCAATGACGATACAATAGACTAAATACAATTATCAATCGAGCAAGGGAGGCTTCAATACTTCATCGACCGACATAACCGATTCATACGAATTAAGTTCTTAAAGTGGCAAAGGGGAAAATCAGAGCTGAAATGTGCAGACCTGATAAATACTTTGAAGGAAGTAAACTCCCATAGGCAATAAGACTCGCCAGCAGTACTCTCCTACTCGCAAAGGGTATGCTTTTTCCTATAATTACTTCACCCAAATTCGCCATTCGTTCACTAACCATCCTAAGAGCATCAATAAACCGACATTAAAAGCTTACACATAAAATTTTGTGTCCGTCCCTATGTATATGAACATATAACATACGTGTTTGTTTGGCATCCGTACTTGCACAAATACGTTAATAACCGCATACAAATATATACTCCTATGCATATGGATGCCGATAATAATAGTGCATCACATTGTAATGATGCTTCTACACAATACATACACAAGTATATACTGATACATGTATAAATCATTTCAGGATGTAGATGAGACGAGACAGATCGCAAACTACTCGAGTTCGACTCGGTCAACATTCTAATTGAATGGATTCAACTCAAGTTCTTAATGGACTGAAATGAACTATTTGATACTCGACTTGAAAAATCCTAAATCTTCAATTTTCAATTAATTATTAATAGTATTAATATTTATATGTTTTTTCCAAATAAATACAATATAAGGTTTTTCATGTACTTAAGGTTCATGATCGAGTTTGAGTTCGAGCTTCAATCGAGGTACAAATTTTTTTCAAGTTCAAGTTTTTTAGAACTCAAGTCGAACTTCATATTTCTATTGAGTTCGAATCGAGCTTGATAATTTTAAATTAATGAGCTTTCAAGGCGATTTGAGTTCAAATTTAAACTTTTTGAAATGAGTTCAGACTGAACTCTAAACGAAAATATTGTGAACCTTAAATGAACAGTTCATAAACATTAAACGAACACAAATACCTTAAAAAATAAGTAAAGTAATACAAACATGATATTAAAAATTTAAACAAATACGAATCGAACCGAATATAAACACCTTCAAAACTAAACAAACGAACACAAATATAACCTAGCTTATTCAAGCTCGGGTACACCCCTAATTTCTCAACATTTAACTAGACTACTTTACAGCCCTCAATCCATTCATGAATATACATGCCTACACATGAAACACAGGCACAATTACTCTTATGAACACTAGAAAACCAAACCAAACCCATCTAAAAAGAGGCAAAGGAAATTAATTTCACCAAGCAAAGAGAGCTTAATGGGTACAAAAGATTAGCAGAATTGAGTGAAGAAAAGTAAAAACTAACCTCAAAATTGAAATGGGTTTATGTGAACCATTGGAACAGAAAGTAGACAAGAGTTCTCGACGACTCATGACTTTGTAGCTATTAAGGTTTAATGAACAAGAATTGTTGCAAACAGAGACTTGCATTTTTCTGGGTTAATTATGAATTTGATGAGTTGCATAAATTAACAAAGAAGAAGAAAATTAAACGATGGAATAAAAATTGCTTCTTCTTTTTTTGCGTTAAAGCTAAGTGGCCGTGGAGGAGCAGAGAAGAAGAGTGGATGATGATAATACACTGATTCGTGTCTGTTTTTTAAATGTTACATTTGGTAATTAATATTTAAACTATTAATTTTGATATATTTTTATTTTATTTTAATATCGTCGTTAAAATTTTAATAAAGTTAATGTGATATATTTCGGTGAACATAATCAATCCAATGTGTGAACTAAAGAAATGACGAGTCACTAATATAATTCAGTTTTAAACCCATCAGACGGTAAACCATGAAGATCGGATGATGAAAAAAATGAAGAGTTCATCATCATTTCATTGATTTTAGAATTAAAGTATTTCTCAGTGAAACGATGGACAAAATCGCTTTCAATAGGTCGAAAAGTGGGACTAAAAGTTTGGACTTCATCGATCGACATATACGATGGTCAGTGATTGTAGAAGGATTGGGTTGGCCGTTGAGATCGTTCGTTAAGTTTTAAACGGCGGGATACTAAAATGAAACAAAAACTAAATGTTATGTTGGTTTTAAAAAAATGAAAGTTTAAGAACTAAAACAAATAAAATTGATAGTTTAAGTATTAAATGTGTAGTCCCCTTTTTATATATCAAATTACCTAATCAACCATTTTTGTTCAAATTACCCAAAAAGTCCTCTACATTACATATTTACTAGAACTTAAAATATCATTTTTGCTTTGTTTTAATATTTATTTTTTTTTAAATTGTCTAACGATTGTATTAGGTTTCAATTTGGCATGCGTTAAAAACTTAGTGGCATCGATGATGTGTAATTATTTTCCTTTTTTGATAGTTGACATGTCTTGTAATATAACTTTCATGTCATCGGTATCGTTAAGTTTTTAACGTATGTATCAAATTGAAACCTAAAATAAATGTAGACATAATTTTTAAAAAAATAAAATTTAAATACTAAAATATATAGTTTAGATACTAAACATATAATTTATTAAACTATTAATTGAATTTTTCAGGCTTAATCTTTAAATTGCCCATAAATTATACTATTTTTTAATCGTGACATTTACTTATTGAAAATTTAATCTTTGTAGTAATTACTTGTCATTAATTTGCTCCTTTTCTTAATCCAATGGAAAAATAATTATTTAATTAATAATTAAATTAAAATAACTTTTTATTTGAAATTATAAAAGATTGACTCATGAACTCATGTCATTTCTTTCGGAACAAAGTTAGAATCAATATTTGAGAATGATGAATTATTGAGTAAAATATACAAATAATCTTTCGATTATAGAAGTTATTTTATTGAGTATCTTGACTGTTAAAAAGTAATAAAATAATCCTCCGACTATAAGACGTTGATTTTTTTCTAGTTTGATGTTGCTTATTTTTCTTTGTATGAGCACAGCTGGCTGTCGGGGGAGAAAGAGTGGTATTTCTACTGTCCGAGGGACCAGAAATATTGAAACAATGCAAGGCCGAACCGAGTCACCGGAGCCGGGCTTCGGAAGGCTACCGGAACAGATAAGCGTATCTACTCATCTGATGGCATCGACTGTATTGGTTTGAAGAAGTCTCTTGTGTTCTATAGAGGCAGAGCTGCTAAAGGGATGTAAACCGATTGGATGATGCATGAATTCTAGCTACCTTCGACATCGGACTCAACACCGACATCGAAGAAACTCGTAGTCGGAACCCTTCCTGAAAATGTAATGACTCCCTTTACTCATGATTTTTGTATGTTGTTTGATTATTAACTGTTTGATTGGTCTTGTTTCCTACAGGATGCATGGGCTATTTGGTAGGATATTTGAAAAGACGAGTCACATGGCACAAAGAGCTATGTCCCACACTTGGACCTCTTGCACTCGGTTCGGATCGGAGAACGTTTCTTGCACAACCGAAATCAGATCAATGGTGCCGTTAGACGACACCTGTGAACTTCAACAAGGCTGCACCGCCGGTTTTTCGGGTCTAGATGTTCCTTCGAATAAATCGTTCCATCAGACAGTCTACAGGCCATCTCCATTTCATGTATCCAATGCAGACCTTCAAAACAACTTGATGTTGATGTCTGGTTCGTCCACCAAGTGCACCCTTGAAGCCTCTTCCATGCTGATGAGTCCTCCGATGATTGCCGACATCACCAAGGCCGATTTTGGAGGGCAACACCAGCAATACAGTAGTTTCAAGGATCAAAATAAAACCAATAACTTCAAAATCGATTCGTAGTCAAGTGAGCGAGCAGCGTACTAATCGGTATGAAACTTCCTAATGGGAAAAATGCTGAAATTCAGTTCCACATTTCATCAATCACCAGTATAGCAAAAACAATTTCTGGAAGGAAAATCTAGCTCTTAGAGGACTGCTTTTCCTTTTCCTTCTGGATTTTCAGAACCTTCTTCACAATCTTTTGCTCTTCGACCAAGAAGGCTCGAATGATCCTTCCGATAACAAAAAAACCAGGAAGAGGAAAATAAGATTCGCATTGATCACTTCGAACAAAGAACACCAATAAAAAAAAAACATTTCACAGTCATTACACAATGCTCATAGTCGTACCTTTCTCTAACGGCGCTGCCTGACAAAACTCCGCCATAGGAACGATTCACAGTCCTTCGGTTACGAGGCAAAAGAGACTGCTTGTGTTCAGCAGGTGAGGAATCTGCATACAAGACATATAAGAAAACCATGATAACAAGCTCAAAGCTCTCCAAATCGAATCAATCAACCACATGTTCAGAAAGAACCGAAAACTAACCACCAGGACAAGTAACATGAAAATGGTATATATTTCTGCACTGGTCAAAAAGCGTAACATTTCTACCGGCTAATGCCGCAAAATAAACCAACACAGTCTGTAAACTGCTTCAAATGAATATGCAACAAAGTTTTCCCCGTAAATGAATCCAAAACGACCGCGGTGATCGACATTTATCACCAGTTGCTAATCTTTTTTACAAACACATCGGTATTTTGGGAATCCAAACCATCAAAACAAACATAATACACTACCAGTAATCAGCACTACCTTGGATCACAAAATCATGAAATAGAACTAATCTTAACAGACTCATCAATCCATATATAATTCAAAACAGAAATTCAATAAGCAAACATGAAAGTGAACATATTTAGTTAACCTAATTAGGGCTGTAAATGAGACGAGTTGAACCCAAGTATTACTGAGCCTGACTAGACTCAAAAAGTTTAAAACTAAGATCGACTAGACTTGAAAGCTCGCTACTTAAAACTATCAAACTCGACTCTAATTCAAAATCAAAATTTGAAAAATCATTCTTGGACTTAGCTCAATGGAAGCTCGAACTCAAACCTAAATGTCATACTGCCTTTTTGAACCCAAAAAAACATATACATGTTAATATTATTAATAATTTAATTTAAAAATTAAAACTTTAATATATTATTTTTTTCAAGTTGGGTATCAATTAAGAACTCGAGTCAGAGTTAAAATACATTCAAAGACCAAACTTTGATCGAATCGAAATCTAATAACTTACCATTACTATCTATATCGCCTCATTTGCATCCCTAAATCTAACAATAAGAATTCAGATTCCTAACTAAAAACTCCAACTTCAAACCAAAAGAAACTAGAAATTATAAAAAAAATAAAGAACTTACACCCTGAATTCGCTTTCCAGTGACAGGACACTTTGGCCCACTTGCTCTCTTCTTAGTAGTCTGATAAACCAATTTCCCACCTTCAAAAAGAAAGATCCATCACCATTTACATACAAAATCGACAGCAGAGTAGAAAAACGGCATCGTTTTCGAAACTTCAAGGCTTACCGGGGGTCTAAACGACACGGTGTTGATTCGATTTGGTAGCATAGCTATGGCGAGTGCGGTAGGTGAGCCTTTGAACCATTTTCGTTTTAGGGTTTTATTTTCTCAGCTTTGTTTCAGAAAGAGGGGGGGGGGGGGGAAGGTCGGAGACAGACGATAAGGCCAAAGCGGCTATAAATTGGAGAAGATGATGCATAAATATGGATTCTTTTGTATGTAAGCCCCGGTTATGATTTGTACGGTTCTTTTGTATAGATCGTACGGTTGTAGTTTGATTCATATTTAAAGTTATAATAAACTACACATTTAGTATCGTGTTAAAAACTTAACATACAGCCTAACGAACATAGTTTTAGTGAACAGACAACCAATTCGAACGATGGATCACGAGAGAATGACCTGTCGACCAACATAGTACAATTTCAAGTTCATCGGACAGTTGACGACATAGATCGAATGATGAAGAAGTTGAATAATCCATCATCGATTTGAGAAAATTGAGGTATTTTCGATGAAATGGAGGTCAAAATCTCGTTCAATGAGTCAAAAAGATACGCACTGTATAGTTTGGGCTTCATCGGTTAACAAATGCAATGGCCAGTGACTATAGACACGACATTCGACAAACTCGTTTTTTAAGTTTTTAACAACGACGTATTAAAATGAAATAAAAACTAAATGTTAGATGTAATTTTGAACAAATTAAAATTTTAGGTACAACAACAAACCAAAATTAATAGTTTAGATATTAAAATCGTAATTTACCCTTTAAGTTACATGAACGAAGGAGTATGCAATTGTCTTCAATTTCAAATCTTGATCCTTAGAATTTTATAATTTTGACATCTAATATAGAATTAAAATGTATCTCCGTTTTTTCTTAATTTGCTATATTAAATTTTGAATTTTTGATCTTATTTAAAAGATATAATACCTCATCCTACTAATTCAACTCATATATGAATATATGATCGTTTATATTCAATTACTGACCAAGGAGTTGTGCAGTTATAGAGAATAATTAGTTCAAGTAATAAGCAGTTTGATATTACTTAAACAAAATTTTAAGTTTAAATTTTTATGTATGCAAAGAATTCCACTGAGAGACTCATCCATCAAAGTCAAATGTATGATACGGGTTGACCCGAATTAATCAGCAAAACCCTAAAATCGAGAGAGAGAATAAGCGGAGGTAGCCAAACAATCAACCACCTCTTGGAATATATAAGTGGTTGATAAGTGTTCAAATTTCTTTATGTGAAAAACCCAAAGTGCAACTTTATCTCCTTCCAATTTATGCCCTAATATACAATGATGTGATTTCCTCATCATCACATAGGCAGGATTGGAGAATTTGATGAAAACAAGAACAATTAATCTCTATGGCCTCCTTAATCCTCTTCTATTATTCACGCTCGGCATCCTATAGTTGGATAAAACTTAGGTGAGATCTATGATCTCCGGTAAAAACTCGGAAATTCTTCTTTTGGTGCATGGCCGGACTCTATAGGCGGGAGACGGTGTTAATAGATCTATTACCTCGACCTCTCGTGCAGCATCGGAGCTAGGGACATGATCTTTCACAACTTCAACTTCAGTGGTTAATGGTTTCTCTCTTGTCCATGGCTGTCGATCTCCATTGCCTGCTACCGTCGCTGATGATTGCTTCTGAACCCGACGTTCCTTCTCAATAGTGCTTGTATCGGTTCCTTCTGCTATCCTTACCGGTGAACAAATGAAATCAAAAGGCTGTGTGGGGTATGCTCCAAAAGTGGAAGAGTTCACTCGTTTTTCATTATCGGTAATCGATAGTTTCTCTTTTAACCATGGTGGTGGATCTTCATCGGCTTCCACAGCATATGTAAACCACATGCCCCTCAAAGATTCCATCCCAGCAGTGCTTGTAGCTGCACATTCAGTGGCCTTACTAGTTGGGGAATCGATTAAAACTAATGACTCAACATTATGTACTCCAAGATTGGATGATTCTCCTAGTTTTCTTGTTCCGTATTCTTCAATGTGTTCGAATTGTTCATTAGAAGTACCACATGTATCACCGAGTTCGTCACATTCGTCCATGTTATCACAATCATCTTCGCATACAGATTCGTCTGGTTCAGTATAGCAGGGGAGCTCATCCATGGAGCAAACTTTAACTTTCATCTGCTCCGGCAAGCTCGGGCAACAAGCAGAATGATTTGTGTATTTCGTCAAGAAGTAGTTTACCGTGACATTCAAGCTGATCAAATAACAGCATTACACATTAGCTAACCAATGATTGACCTAAACGAAATAGTATTAACCTGGGATAAAAGAAAACATATACCTCTGCCAGGCAGGGAGGGTGAGCATCGTATATGCGAGTTTGATCTTGTTGGCGACTCCAGAAAAAGATTTAAAAGTCGCAGCCGATTGTCTCACAGCCACTGATTCTTGAGGGTGCTGCCAGGCCCACTCAAACTGCAGGCATCAACACATCAGAAAACATTGTTATGTTAGGAGCAAACCATAGGCAGAATGGTCTATTGCATAGTATTATGTCTAATAAAATCAGGAAGTTCTGGAATTTTCGAACTCAGTAAGCATTCTTCACCGATTAACAATGTCTCTGAGGGTGTAAATATTCCGCATTTAAAAAAAATCCGTCATTCTATCTCCCTCTCTCTCTGCCTCGAGAATCGACTTAAAAACACATTTATATATAGCACTTAACAAATTTCACAATAAAGAACACTAAAGGTTTCCAGCCATGGCCAAAGTTCATCAAAAGAAACAAGATATTCTGCTGCTGACACCGGACTAGATAATCGAACACGATAAAAATCCAGGTGGAACATAGCTTTCAAACTCAACAAAACCTCTTGTTACAACAAACAAGGTAGGATTCCGAGAGAATGTATACAAAGGAACATCAACAAGAGCTAAACGATGCGACTAGTAAGATCAACCATCAACCATCATAAAAACAACATTTCAAGCATACCCTAACATTTTCCTACTATTCCCCAAAACCACGGATGGTCCGAGAGGGGCTAACAAGGCAGTCTCCCCTCTCAAAATTTCGATTTCTCATATAATTTGGACAATGTTTTGTATTTTCTATATATAAACTGTTTTCAACCCTAAAATTTTGATACTAAAGCATGAAAAATCAAGGTGGAACATAGCTGTTGATCCCAACAAAACCTCTTGTTACAACAAGCAAGGTGGGATTATGCGAGAATGTACACAAAAGAAAATCAACATGGGCTAAACAATGCGACTAGTGAGTAGTGAGATCGACCATCAACAGTCATAAAAACAACATTTCAAGCATACCCTAACATTTTCCTACTAATCCCCAAAACCATGGATGGTCCGAGAGGGGCTAACGAGGCAGTCTCCCCTCTCAAAATTTTGGATTCTCATATAATTTGGATAATGTTTTGAATTTTCTATTGATAAACTGTTTTTGACCCTAAAATTATGATAGTAAAGCATGAAAAATCAAGGCGGAACATAGCTGTTGATCCCAACAAAACCTCTTGTTACAAGAAGCAAGGTAGAATTCTGAGAGAATATACACAAAAGAAAATCAACAAGGGCTAAATGATGCGACTAGTGAGTAGTGAGATCGACCATCAACAGTCATAAAAACGACATTTTCAAGCATACCCTAACATTTTCCTACTAACCCCAAAACCAGGGATGGCCCAAGAGGGGCTAACGAGGCGGTCTCCCCTCTCAAAATTTTGAATTCTCATATAATTTGGATAATGTTTTGAATTTTCTATTGATAAACTGTTTTCAACCCCAAAATTCTGATGATAAAGCATGAAAAATCAAGGTGGAACATAGCAGTTGATCCCAACAAAACCTCTTGTTACAACAAGCAAGGTGGGATTCTTGAATGTACACAAAAGAAAATCAACAAGGGCTAAACGATGCGACCAGTGACTAGTGAAATCGACCATCAACAATCATAAAAAAACATTTCAAGCATACCCTAACATTTTCCTACTAAACCCCGAAACCAGGGATGGTCCGAGAGGGACTAAGGAGGCAGTTTCCCCTCTCAAAATATTGAATTCTCATATAATTTGGATAATGTTTTGTATTTTCTATCGATAAACTGTTTTCGACCCTAAAATTCTGATAATAAAGCATGAAAAATCAAGGTGGAACATAACTGTTGATCCCAACAAAACCTCTTGTTACAACAAGCATGACAAATCAAGGTGGGATTCTGAGAGAATGTACACAAAAGAAAAATCAACAAGGGCTAAACGATGCAACTGGTGAGTAGGGAGATCGACCATCAACAGTCATACCCCAACATTTCAAGCAGTCTCCCCTCTCCAATTTCGATTTCTCATATAATCTAGGTATCTTTTCTGTATTTTATATCGATAATCTGTTTTCGCCTCTAAAATTTTATAAATTCACTAGTTCCTCCGGCATAAAATTCTACCGTCCATACAAGAAAGTGATGCAACAGATTGGAATAGAAACATGTTATAAAAAACAGACTAAACACACACACACACACGTATATATGACCTGAAGAGCAGAAACATTTGTTGGAAAGCCATAAATGCACATAACCATCTCCCATGGGCGTTTTCTCTTTGTCCTCCAAGCACCGCTACCAATTTCCCCATTGTGCTGTCTAATCCGCCGCCGTGGGTTCACTGTAAATCTGCAGTTAGATAAACAGCTCGAGCTGAAAAAAGATGAAATATTTAATGGCGAAATACGAGAAGCATTAGAACCCATTAACTTGGGAAGCAGAAAGAGTAGAATCTGACCCGATATAAGTCTGGCCTTTGTGACGAGGGCTGAGAGAGGTTAACAGATAACAAGCGAAGAACCCTTTTCCGGGCTTGCTTTTGTTTTCACCTCCATATTCTGTGATTTGTTCATCGGAATTCTGGGATTTGATGTTGTTCGTCACCGATTTTGTCTGCTTGAAATACTCATTGATGGATTTCGAGTCTCCTGCTTCCTTGCTCCTCTTTGGAGCAGCTTTCCCCTTTCTCATCGATCTCGAACTTAACCAATTTTGAAATTCTAGTAGAGAAAATGGATTCGATTCAATCTAACCGTTGAAATTTTAGTTTTGGGTAAATTTCATATTTTCATCACTCAATTTTACTCTTGCTACAATTTTGATCACCGAAGTTTAAAATATGGGTAAATTACAAATTTGGTAATTGAACTTTACTCTTCCTCCTATTCCACTTATTATACTTTCACTTTTCAATTTTCTCACTGAACTTAATACATTTGATTTTTTTTGTTACTCATTTGTTTCCTCACTAACGGCGTTATGACGGGGCTTTTTTTAAAAAAAATCCAATGGATAAAGTTCAGTGATTAAAATAAAAAAAAATAAAAGTATAACGAGTGAAATAAGAGATAAAATAAAGTTTAGTGAATAAATTTATAATTTATCGATTAAAAATAGAATAAAAAAGTCACATCTAATGTCGTTAGTGAGAAAACGACCGATTGACCAAAAAACTAAATGTATTAAGTTCAATGAGGAAATTAAAACGATTTAAAGCATAATAAGTGAAACACGAGAGAGATAGTAAAGTTCAGTTACTAAATTTATAATTTACCTTTAAAATATTTGTACCACTTACGATTAGGGTAAAAAATAAATTGAAAATTCAGATCATAAGTTTTAGATCCAAACTCTAAACTCCAAATCGCAAACTTTTCACCTTCCACATCCTCAACCACTCATCGAACCACAGATTTAAATTATAGTTGCAATCGCATTTTTTTCACGGATATAATTGATGTTATTGCGTTCTTTGAGCGTATAATTGTCATGATTTTTCCAAATGAATTGATTTTTTAAAAATAAATAACGAAAAAACAACGGAATAACGTTCCGCGATTGGCGCTATCCATTAAATTATAACCACGATCCACCGTTATTGTTGTGATTCCGATTCATACTACTATTTTCCGCAATAGCAACCTCGGATATCGTCGATATTACGATATAGTAACCGTTATATCTCTATCCGACCGCTATTTGAATTCCTACATCGAAACCCCCTCAATCATCCACCCTTTATTTGGTGATTTTATTTTTTCCAATGATATCCATATCCTGAGATAACCGAAGCTTTGCCTTTAGTTATAAAGGAAAGTGGGAGATGATGAACCAGAGAACAATATTCAAACAAAGTTGAATGTAAGTGTTGTCGTTGTCTTATTAGGTGATTAAATTTATTTAACTGAATTAAAATTAATATTAAATTGATAGAATGTATAATTATTGATGATCAAATGTGTAGTTATATTAAGTTTTCTTAACAACCACGCCGCCACTCTGTTAGATGTAACAACAAGTGACTTGATTTGTAAAATTTCAAAATCAATGACCAAAATGAAAAGAAGTAATAGTTAAGTGGCCAAAAATAGTTTACCCAAAAATGGGATTGGACCCCTCCTTTTGAAATTTTAGTTTTGATAAATTACAAACTACATCACTTAACTTTACTTTCTCTCTAAACTTAGTTATTAAAGTTTAGAATATTTTAATTTAATCATCAATTTTCAAATTACTCATATTTTAATCACTCTAATTTATTTTATTATTTATATTTGACCCTAACGATCCATCCTAACTTCATTCTTAAGTTGATATTACAAAACAATTTGGCTTCCTCGCCCATGTAGGTCGTTGGAAAAAAATTCCCATATAGGGCTCTACCCAAATTATTTCTTGAAATGAGATATTTGCTACAGTGACCTCATTGGTCGCCAAGTAGGGATTCATCATTAAAACGGTGGCCGACCAAATCGAAATATCCTTAACCGAATTAATCGAACTTTTTTTTCTTTAACCGTTAACCGAACCAAACTTTTTTTGAAAGTATTAACCGAACCGAATAAATTTTGGTTAATTCGGTTAATTTTCGAATTAACATAAATTTTTGTAGTATTTTAGAATTTAATATTTTTAATTAAAATAATAATAATTTACAATTAATTTAAATAATATATAATTAATTTGATTCAAACATTTTGCATTTAGTAATGAGATTATTTTAATTAATTAATATTGATTTGAGTTTTAAATGAGTTTTAAATGGATTGGGCTTAATATAATTATATTTAAAGGTTAATTCAGTTAATTAACCGATTTCGAACTGAATTAACCGTTAATCGAATTCTAAAAAAATCCTTAATCGTTCCCCGACCGAACTAATTTGGTGGCCGACCGAATTAATCGATCGGTTAATTCGGTTAAAACCGAATTTTGAACACCCTATCGCCAAGTGTTCCATAGGTCGTCAAGTGCTCCTTGCGACAAAGCCTCTTATGTTGTAGCAAATCTTCTCTTTTCCCTCGCTGTTGCAGCTTTATAGGTCGCCATGTGCTCTTAGAGACCTATGGTGGTCACTGTAGCAATCACCCTACTTAAGCAAATAATTGTTCAACTACACTATGTGAAGAATTTTTTTTTTCCATTGTATTATTCAAACACTTTTGCCAAATATTTGGGTACCAACATAATTAAAAATGGGTTTTTAGTATTAAACAACAACTTAATGGATTTATATACAAATTATTTTACCACCCCAATAATCATATGTAAATTCATATGTAAATCTTAATTGTGTCTTAGTTATGCCCTGACCCTGGACCGGAGAGCTACTCCTGACCTAAATTTTTTCTATAAAAAATACAAATAATTAATAAATAAATATGAAATTTTTAAAAAATAAATTAAACACTTATAGATAATATAGTGATAATATTTTTGTTTTATCAACAAGTTGAAATTGTGTCCCAACAAGCACATGGTTTTATAATTATGAGCCACCCATTAGGTAACACATACCTAATCACATGTGACGTGACTTTCATGTATTTTCATATAAATAAATAATGAAAAAAGAAATTACTATATAAAAAATTAAGATTGAGTAAACTACGTATTTAGTACCTAAACTATTAGTTTTGATTTGTTTTAGTATTTAAACTTTTAAAATGTTCAAAATCATATCTAATGTTTAGTTTTTGTTTCAAAATCATCTTATTTGTTTAATTCTTAATTTTTCGGTAAAATATTACTTTTTTAAAATTATTTTTACTAATTAAAAGTATAAAATATTTATTTGTATAATAAAACGGAAAATTAATTTAAATTTAAATAATTATGTTTATCTAATTTTTAAAAATAAAAATTAAATTGAATCAAATATTTTAACAAAATCTTATATTATGATTGAAATAAAGAGGTGAGATGAAATCTGAATCTTAGATCCAAGATGCAAATCTTTTATTGTATAATTAGATCCAATAATTTTATTTTATTTTTTTAAATATTTATTTTAATATAATGTATATTATTACTTTTGAATAGAATATCGTGCATAAGAATGGACACGAGACCCGAATCTGACGAGTTATGACCCGATCTGATCGAATTTTTTAAAAAATTGGATTAGGGTCGTGTTAGGTTTGGGTTTAGGGTCCCAAAAATAATATAAAAATACCTTATATATTTAAAGATAATTACAATAATATCCATCTTTATATTGTTTTTAAATTAAGTCCCTATGTATTAAATAAAATTAATAATTTTATATTATTTCATGTTTTTAGGTTGGAGTCAGATTTTATCTCAAAAGTCAGGCCGGATTTTGGGTCGAATAGAATTACTCGAAACTCAGGTCGAGTCGAGTTTTAGATAAAGGTCTAAAAATTTCAGGTCATGTCAGGTTGGCTGAAAACCCACTCAACCCGACCTATGCTAATCCCTAATAGTGTGTATTATTTAAGATATAGTTCATGAATTTCTATTTATGGTTTAAATTTACAATTACAGTTTAGAATTTTATATTTTAAGATCTATTAAAACAATAATCCATAAAAGATATATTTTGGGTAAATTATGCATTTAGTATCTAAACTAATAGTTTTGATCTATTTTAATACATAAACTTTCAATTTTTTCAAAACCATACCTAAAGTTTAGTTTTTGTTTCATTTTAGTTCCCCATTCAAAATATAACGTTAAGTTTTGAAAATAAAATTGACCAAAATTAATAGTTTAAGTACTAAATGCTTTAAGTTTTTAACGGTGGGGCACTGAAATAAAACAAAAATTAAATATTAAGTATAGTTTACAAAAATAAAAGTTTATGTACTAAAATGGCTGTCCCTTATTCCCAAATGTAATGGGGTAAGGGGAGGTAAGATAGTAGGCTGCCCCCAACATTAGGTTGAGAGCAGCTTCCGTAGGAGACATCCAAATTATGAAATACCCTACATGAAACTCGATCCCACGACCTCAAGGTTAAGAACCTTGTGCTCTATCAACTAAGTTGGATTGTCATTTAGATACTAAATGTGTAATTACGCTTTATTTTATTCGATATTAGGTATTGATTTTGATAATTTTCACTTTCTTCTTATAAAAAAACAGGGTAAATTATAGTAAATGGTTATTAGACTATACAATTTTTTTACAATAAAAGTTTCATAAGTTACAAAATAGTCATTAAACCTATTGAATTATTACAAAATGATCATTATATTTACCGAACTATTGCAAAATGAATGTTGAAACTTATCAAATTGTTATAAAATAGTTTTTGAATATATCAAAATTTATCATTATCTTATAACATATAATGATCATTTTATAATATTTTGATAAATGTAAATATCAATTTATAATTTTGAAAACTTAAATGGTTAAAAATATAATTTCAACATAGTCTAATGGCTTTGTATGTTTTACAGCGCACGTGGCTCACTTTTGTCAAAGCGGCGCATCTTTGGGTCACGAGCTTTGCCCACTCTCACTGTCTTGGCACATGCAATGGGTTCTCAAAAGTATTTCCTTTTTGGATTTTTCTTAATAATAATGAATTTAACTATGATCCTTTTTTTTAATTTAACTATACTAATAAATAGTGTGATAAAGTATATAAATGTTTTCTCGATTATAGAGTATTATCTTATTAAGTTTATCGACTATTAAAAATTATAAAATAGTCACAGACTATTCATTATGTTTCAAAATCATCACTTTTCGTTAAAAAAATGACGGTTGTCTAACCTAGATGTTAATATGATGAATGAAATATGATTGTCATTTGAGATTTCAATATCATATTTTATTATATCATAGTTAGCATATTAACGTTCAGCCCAGAATACCGTCAATTTTTTTAATAAAAGATATCGAGTTTGGAAATATATCGGTGACAATTTTGTAACTTTTAATAGACAAGTGACTCCATAAAGTAACATTCTATAATCGGAGGATGATTTTATAACTTTTAATAGTCGATGAACTTAAATTGGTCCCCAACCTTCTGAATATTCAAATTTCACCCTCAATTCATCCAATTATGTAATTAATTTAAACCTTAGTTTAACCTAAATTTTGTTTTTTTAATATATAATAATATAAGTTGGCCTAATAATTTTATTAACAAGGAATGTGATTAGCATATACGTATTGTTTGGGATGAAATTGGAATAATTCAAAAGGTTAATGAAAGTTATAGTTTGGATATGAAATTGAAATGTTCAAAAGTTTGAGGACTACTATAAAATGATAGTCATAGTTTAGGGATAAAATTCAAAAAATATTTAAAATTTTACGGACCAATTTAAAATGAGGATCATACTATGTGAACATGAAATGCAATTAATTCTATTTATTTAAACCTTTTTTAACCATCGACAACGCATACATATCCTTCAGACAAAACCGCTAAAACTCATAATTTATAAAGAAAATAACACTCCTCTTAATAATCTAAATCACTTACTTAAATAATAAAAAGTAGTATTAGGAAAATAGTTTAAAATGTTATTTTATTATATTCTATAGCCGCAGTGGGTCCTCATTCAACTACTTAACTAACTCAAGCCTTTGCTCATCAATGCGACTCACTGTCCTTTAAAAAACGATTAAATTATTTTTTTATTAAATATTCAAATTTAATTTATTAATTAATTAATTAAAATAAATATTATAAATATTTGTTATTTGAGTAATTTCTTAATCTATTTTAATTCATTCATAATATCAGATTCCAATCAATTATATGCGCATTATGTTTGTGTTGTCAAGAAAAATTCTAAATAAATATTAGAGTAAAATACACAAACAGTCCCTTGACTATAGGATAATACTTTATTGAGTCTCGTGACTATTAAAAGTTACAAAATGGTCATTCGATAATAGGAAGTTATTCTATTGAGTCATTAGATTATTAAAAGTTACAAAATGATCACCTGACTATAAATTATTTTCCAAACTCATCCTTTTTGGTTGAATTTTTTATGACAATTTGAGTTGTACGTTAACATGTTGATTGTGATATAATAAAATCTTATCTCATTGTCTCAAATGACTATCGTATCTTAGTCAACATGTTAACGTCCAACTAAAAAGGACAAGTTTAGAAAATAACGATTAGTCAAGTGACCATTTTGTAACTTTTAATAGCCGATGGACTTAACAAAATAACTCTCTATAGTCAAGTGATCATTTTATAAATAGTCTAAGGACTAACTAACTAAAGCATTATCCTTGTATCATTTGTGTACTTTACACTAAATATTATCTTGTAATCAATTATACTATTAAAAATATTATAATAATCATGATGCCAATTGAATTAAAGTTAAACTTATTGTAATTATATAATTAATTAATTTTTAAAATATATTATAAGTTAATATAAATATCAATATTAACCCATTTTTACCTAAAGTTTATAAAACTATTTTATAATAACAGGAAATTAATATTTATTAAACCATTCTCTAAAATAATGTTATTTTCTGAAATGTGATTTTCCCGTAAATCATGTCTATTTGACATGCTTGTCAAATAGATCCCATAAATTCCGGCCCGTAATTGCATGAAATTATGTCAATCATATTTTTTTTAACAAATTGGTCCTTTTTTTTCAAAATCACTTTTCCCCTTTGGCGCACAGTTATTTCTAATATATATATATATGGAATTAAACATTAATATTTGATCTATTGACCGATCATTTTATATTGAGTACCGCATAAGCGAGAGCGACTATCCCCAATTTATTTCATTCACAAACGACATGATTTGAATCCCTGACTTTGCTTAAGGAATTTAGTGTCTCATCCTATAAATCAGCTAGTTGTTGATATTCAATTTATATATTTAAAACTGATAATCGAGTTAAATTAACCACTTAAATCAAATAATTGAATTAATTGCATGTGCATATATGTGTGTCTTTATTTAATAATTTGCTTTTATGTACATAGGGATGACATTTGATTCGAACTCGACAGGTTTTGATCTGCTCGATCTTGTAGAGTCAGATTTAAAAAAAAAACTGAATTTGAGTTTAAAGTGAAAAGCACTCGATTCATTCCGAGATTGTTTTATTAGTTCAGATTTTAATAATATTAGAGTAATAATACAATAAAAAAGCAATAAATTCAATTTAACCCTTAGTGAAAAATTGTCATCCAAACTTCAACATGTACGAGTGAATTACATTAAGGAAATTTCCCATCGCTAAATCTTAAATTTTCTCCTATATATACCCCTCACCATTTCAATCTTCTTCATCCAAGCCCCCCTTCCTTTCTTCATTTTCCTCTTCGTATTCCCACTCCAAGAGGGGTTTGGTTTCATATCCCAAAAAAGCTCCATGGCTAAGCTTCTCGTTGCTTTCTTCTTGGCTCTCATTGCCATCTCCATGCTTCAAACAATGGTGGGTACCTTACCTTTTCCCCACATTACATCGAAAAATCGAAAGAAAATTTCTTTTGATTTTAAGTTGCAGACAAAATGAAAACCTGCAGTTTACGCCAGTCTAATCTTTGGGGTTTTGTTTGTTTGTTTTCATTGTAGGTAATGGCATCACATGGAAGAGGAGGTAACCATTATGATCAGGTAAATGCCGAAGCTTTGAAGATTTCATTTTGGTTTCAGTAGTTTTCTTTTTTTGGTCACATTCTGATCTGTTTGTTTACCGGGAAAATCCCCCCCCCATCTGCAGAAACGATATGGCCCTGGAAGTCTCAAGATTAACCGTAAGCAAACCACTTTCAAACTTTCATTGTTATTTTTTTTCTTATCTAGAAGATCAGATCTAAAAACATGGAAAAAAGGGCAAACTATAAATTTAATACATAAATTATCAGTTTTTGTCAATTTTAGTAACAAATTTTTTTATTTTTTATTTCATTTTAGTATCCTTAGTTAAAATTTTAACGCATTTATTACCTGAACTATTAGTCTTAGTCCGTTTTAGTACATAAACTTTCAATTTTTTTTTTAAATTTAACGATAAATTTTGAAATGATACTATAATGAAACAAAAATTAAAATTTTAACGGAGGGTACTGAAATAAAACAAAAATCAAATTTTAGGTATAATTTTGAAAAAAATAAAAGTTTAGATACTAAAACGAATTAAAATTAATATTTTATGTACTAAACGTATATTTTACCCTAAAACAATTAGCTTGAAGAAACATTGTCCTGGTAACATTTTATTCAAAATTCGTTTACACTGCATACAACTTTTAAAGGCAAAATTTTTAGCCCTTCTAATTCGGGGTGATGAAATGACCAGAATGCCCTTCCGAGTGCACAAGGAGGTGTAGCCAGACCCAGTACCACAAGCCATGTATGTTCTTCTGCCAGAAATGCTGCAGGACTTGCCTGTGTGTGCCTCCGGGGTATTATGGGAACAAGCAAGTTTGCCCTTGCTACAACGACTGGAAGACCAAGGAAGGAGGCCCCAAATGCCCTTAAATTTTCATTCACTTGGAGGGAACCCTAGTTTTAAAGTCTATCAATTCATCATTTTAAGCATGGAATTGTGGCACCGTGATGCTAACTTTATTATATTTGATGTTAGTTGTTGCTGGTGTTTTTATGTAATATTTTTAAAAAACATGTACCAATTTGTCACCCCATTAAATGAGAGTGGCTAATCTTTGCTCTATTTATTAATGAAGTTGGTGTTATTTAACTAGAGATTGTCCCATTTTCGAGATTCACAAATCTTATTTTTTTTAGTATAATTGATATATAATTTATTGATGGAAGAATTTAGATTGAACTCTTATATTTATTTTTAAAAAAATAGGGTAAAGTACATAAATCGTCATTGACTATAGGGTACTATTTTATTAAGTCTATCGAATATTAAAAGTTATAAAATTGTCATTTAGACTATAGAATGTTGTTTTGTTAAGTCTCTCTACTATTAAAAGTTATAAAATTATCATATTACTATTCATTATATTACAAATCTTTTTCGTTAAAAATTGACGATTGTTTAAGTTTGACGTTAACATGATTATTTTGATATAATAGTTGTTTAAGATTCTAGAATCATATTTTATCATATAATAATTAACAGGTTAACGTTACTCATTATATCATCCACTTTTTAAGGGAAATGACGAATTTTTAACATAATGAATAGTCAAATGATCATTTTGTAACTTTTAATAGTTGAGAGACTCAATAAATAAATACTCTATAGTCAAAGGAATATTTTATAACATTAAATAATTGAGGGATTTAATAAAATAATATCTTATAGTTAGGGGATCATTTGTGTACTTCACTAAAAAAATATCCCATCTCCACTAGTCATTGATTGCAAATCTTGCATCTTTTATCTTTCTTTTTGAAGTAAATTTGAAATAGGGTTCTAATCAATTTTTAGTGAAAAAATTCAAAATTTATTAACATAAAAGGGGCTCATTGAACCTTCTACACATGGGTTCAAAAATTATAATGTAAGGTCAGGGGTTTAAACTCTATCGTTTGTGAATAGAGCAAATTAAATTAGGAGGGTCGCATTCGCTTCTGCAGTACTCGATTTATATTAGTTAGTCAATAAATAGATTCATTTAGACTATAGAATGTTGTTTTGTTAAGTCTCTCCACTATTAAAAGTTATAAAATTGTCGTCTTACTATTCATTATATTACAAATCTTTTTCGTTAAAAATTGACGATGGTTTAAGTTTGACGTAAACATTATGATTTTGATATGATAGTTGTTTGAGATTCTAGAATCAAATTTTATCATATAATAATTAACAGGTTAACGTTCAACTCAGTATATCATCCACTTTTTAAGGGAAATGACGAATTTTTAACATAATGAATAGCCAAATGATCATTTTGTAACTTTTAATAGTTGAGAGACTCAATAAATAAATACTCTATAGTCGAAGGAATATTTTATAACAATAAATAATTGACTGATTTAGTAAAATAATATTCTATAATTAGGGGACCATTTGTATACTTCACTAAAAAAAAATCCCATCTCCCCTAGTCATTGATTGCAAATCTTGCATCTTTTATCTTTCTTTTTGAAGTAAATTTGAAATAGGGTTCTAATCAATTTTTAGTGAAAAAATTGAAAATTTATTAACATAAAAGGGGCTCATTGAACCTTCTACACATGGGTTCAAAAATTATAATGTAAGGTCAGGGTTTAAACTTTATCGTTTGTGAATAGAGCAAATTAAATTAGGAAGGTCGCCTTCGCTTCTGCAGTACTCGATTTATATTAGTTAGTCAATAAATCAGATATACAATTATGAAGAATTTGTATCGTATTATAATGTTTTGGGTAAACTACAAATTTAGTATATTAACTATCACTTTTACTTTGTTATAGTCATCCAACTATTATTTTTAAAATAACATATAATGTTACATTTTTATTTCATTTTAGTCACATGTCGATAATAATTAACAAAATTATTGATGTGATATTTAAAAAAATAATTTTAATGATGATGTGACATTACTTTATATTGACACGCTAACATCATTATTATTTTTAACTACAAGTGATAAGAATAATACAAAACATAATGTTATGTATGATTTTAAAATAAAAAACCTCGATGACCTAAAACGGAACCAAAATGATAGTTAAGATACCAAATGTATAGTTTGCCCTAAAACTATAATTTCGCTGCGAATTATAGTTTTATTTTTTGACTGATAAAGTGTTATAAAGTAGTATATGTTTTATGTAACCATTTGACAAGAACCGTTTAATCATCCTCATAAGTATAAGAACTCGAACCCGTAATCTCTAATAATAATAATTGTTCTCTTAACCACATATGCGAATTAGATCTTGAAAATGAAAAAATGAAGAAAAAAAAAGAGAATAACATGTAAACACAGGCAAACCGACTCCAATGATGGGTCCAATGGATTGATCATTGATGGGTCAGTTCACAGCTCTGAATTTAAGACCAATTAGAATTTGAAAAAAAAAACACATTTTATTATATAATAAATGATATTTTTACAAATTTTTATTAATTGATTAAGTAATTAAGAACGTTAATGTTATACTATTTTATTGTGTAGATTTAAATATTAATTTTTTATCTAGTAAATGTAATATCTTTTTATTTAATAAAGATGATATTTTGCTCATTCAAATGATTAATTTAAACTGCATATCATTGATGGAGATTTTTTCGTATGGATTTATTTGCAGGGATTACTGTCCAAGTAAAAACGCGCATATGATATTAATGATATTAATGTCTGCATATGAATACTGTTCAACTATATTTAGTATTTTTATACATGCATTGCATTTTATCTATATTTTTAATTTTTCTGACTGCCGGAGGTCTTCCACGGAAGCTACTCTCAACCTGGCGTTGGGGGCAGCCTACTACCCTACCTCCCCTTACCACATTGTATATGAGAATTGGGTTTTGTTGTTGTTGTTGTTGTAAATGATTAATTTAAACTATATATTATAAATATTTGTGATTAATTTTAATTTTTAGTGTTTAAAGAATTATAATTCAAAATAGGTGTTTAATATTTTTTCTGTTATATTTTTAGGTGTTTATTATTACAAAAAATTATTAAGTGATACGTGTCACATTTTATATTTTTTAAATAAATATTATTTTAAAAAATCTGAATGTAACACATGTTACTTAACAAATTTTTTAACAGCAGACACCTAAAAATAACGGAAAAAAATAAAAAATTAAACACCTATTTTTAACAAAAAATTCTTTAAACATAAAAAAATAATTTAAGTATAGTTTAAATACTTATTTTTGTATTAAACCTTAATATATTTATCATACTTAATTCAACGTTTAGATGCTTGATTCTTTTAGAGGTTAGAGTTTAAATTTTAATATCCATATAAATTTTATTCCTATACGGTGATGACACATATTACTATTTTATTGGTTAAATAAAAAGTAATTAAAAAAACTCATAATAATATTAACGTATCTAATTATTACTTTGTTTTATTTTGATTGTCGATTTTTTTAAAAAAAAAATCATACTTAACGTTTATTTTTAAATTTATTTTGGGCACTCGTCTCTCAGTAGTAGGTTAACGTACAACTCAGAATGCCGTCAAAACTTTAATAGAAAATGACGAGTTTAGAACATAATGAATAGTCAAGTGACCATTTTATAACTTTTAATAGTATGAGACTAAAAAAGTAACTATCTATAATTAAGGGATCATGTCAAGAGACTTAATAAACCATTTGTATGCTTTATCGTAAAGGCTTACAGATAAAAAGACTTTGCGATCTAAGTGGGTCAAATGGCGTTAGGCCCATTTATATTCCTTTTTCATTTCAAATTCCCGCCGAAACATCCCTCTTGAAATTTCGCTCAAATACTTTTCAACTCTTTCCTCTTCGTTTTATCAGTTTAGTTTTTTTATCCAGGGTTCACTCAAATCCTCCCTCGTTTTTTCAAACCCATTCAGCTCTAGCGATTTGGCTCAGCAGCCCTTCATCTCACTGTAGGGGATGAAAGCGTCGGATCAGTTCGCGACTCGCGAACCAGAACAGGCCCGAGTGGGATCTCGAGGCCCGAGATTAGTAATCAACGAGATGGTGATGAGGAACTTCAAGTCTTACGCCGGCGAACAGCGCGTTGGTCCTTTTCACAAGGTTAGAGTCTTTAATTTTTTTTATTGTTCACTTTTTAATAGTTTTTGTTTGGTTTCTGGGGAAGTGCCGGTAATGGCGTTAGGGAAATTGAAAATATGCACAATGTTAACTCGAATTGCAGTTTTATTTCTCATTTCTCTTGCGGTTTTAACTCTTTTTCTTTGATTACTGAGAAAGTACTGGGAATCGAGAAGGAAAACAGGAGATTGATGTTAAAAATTTTGAAATTTTTTTAGTCTCTTTTAGTTTTTTCTTCTTCTTGAAATAATACAACGTAGAGCGTGAGCTTTTAATCTTTTTGTTAGTAGTCTAAGTTCTGCTTAATCGCGGAGGAAAAAATGAAATGAGAAATAAAATAAAATTGATATGATAACTGCTCGGACTGAACTATTAGCGTTTCATTCTTCTGGTTCCCGAGAAAGTCGATGGAAAATTGAGTGTAGAGTTGCTAAAGGCTATTATAACTTCAAAAATTTAAGTCAAATTATGTCTTTTTTTTCTTCAAATGATTTGATTTCGCATTTCAAATCTTAGTTCCAGTCAAGTTTCTTCACTGAAACTGTTTAATAAGCCAAAAAAATTGTTGGTTTCGTTTTAGGAAATTAAAAACTCTTTGCTATAAAGTTTTAAATCCTTTTTATGTTTTCCCCAATGAAATTTAGAGTTTTTCTGCTGTGGTTGGGCCAAATGGAAGTGGTAAGAGCAATGTGATAGATGCCATGCTTTTTGTATTTGGGAAGAGAGCAAAGCAGGTAACATTTATGGCTACTGTTCTATAATTTCGGTATTTATCTTGTTTTTTGCTCTTATATGGTTACAATGGCCCTTCTTATAATATATCTAGCAATACCTTTTGATTATTTCCCTTTCTCTAAATTCTTTTGGGTTCAATTTTGCTGATCTAACTGTGCAGATGCGGCTTAATAAAGTTTCAGAACTAATTCACAATTCAACTAATCATCAGAATCTTGACAGTGCTGGTGTTTCTGTTCATTTCCAGGAGATTATTGATTTGGTGAGTCTTTTGCATCTGGTTTTTTTCTGGAGTTTGGGGATAGCTTTTTAACTTAGTGCCTAAATGGGTATAAGCAGAGGTTTTGAGAAGTTAAATGCAGCAAATTATTTTATCTACTCATATATGTCAAAAGACTTGAGTCTTTGCTCATTGAATTCACTGTTTTATGTCCGAATAACATGGAACTTTAAGACTTTTGAGGTGGTGATACTCTGGAACGATTTCTCTATTGACTGCAGGATGATGGGACTTATGAAGCTGTTCCAGGAAGTGAATTTGTTATTACTCGGGTTGCATTTCGGGATAACTCCTCCAAATATTACATCAATAAATGTACTAGTAACTTTACTGAAGTTACAAAGAAATTGAAAGGGAAAGGAGTTGATCTTGACAATAACCGGTTTCTTATTCTTCAGGTACAATATAGTTGAAAGGTTGTGTATTTAGAAATTTCAAGATCTTTTTCTAATTCTCTTCATATTTTACTGGTTATTATCAGGGTGAGGTTGAGCAAATTTCACTCATGAAGCCAAAAGCACAAGGGCCTCATGATGAAGGTTTCCTCGAATATTTGGAGGACATAATAGGAACGAACAAATATGTTGAAAAGATTGAAGAATCATCTAAGGAGTGAGTATTTTTTTCTGAACTCTTAGTTGAGGTTTATATTGTTACTATCTCCTCCACCCTATTCCAGCTTTTGGAACCTGTATGCATACAGAAATCAGTTCACAAAATGTCCTTCCTGTTTCTCACGAGTATTTAAGACTCTAGCCTGTATTTGAACTTTGATCACCTTATTCTTGCTAGCTATCAAGACGGGCCACCATAGTGAATGGATTATTAGCAGTCTACTGCCTTCTAGTCTTGTACATGTCTTACACTATTTCATGTTATTTTCCTTTTTGCTTCTAGGTTAGAACGTCTCAATGAAAACGATCAAGTGTTGTGCAAATGGTTAAATTATCAGAGAAAGAAAGAGATAGCTTGGAGGTTTGTTAATGATGATATTTCCCCCTTTTCTAGATTGATATAGTCTATAAAATGTGCCCTTAAAATGATATATTTTCTTTGCAATAGGATGTTAAGAATGAGGCAGAAGCTTACATGTTGAAAGAGTTTTCTCTCTTGAAATGGCAAGAGAAAGCTGCAAAATTGGCTCATGAAGATACCAAAACAAAAATGAATGAACTACAGGAGAACTTGTCCAACTTAGAAGAAATTTTGAAGAATAAAAGGTTATGTTTAAGATATGCATTCAGTTCTCACGCCTATACTTAAATATGTAATGGGATTTACAGTTGTGATATCCGAATTCAGGGAAGAGATTAAGGGAAACAGTAAGTGGTTGAAGGAGCTTGAGTCTGTGCATAACACTCACCTTGCAAGAAAAGAGGTTTGCATTTGATTGGTGTATGCTCCACAGTGATATGCTTATGGAAATACTTTAACTTGATTATTAGGCAGCTGTCTATGTGATGATTATGTTAGCTTTATCAGTAAGGGTTGGCTTATCAAAATGATTACCGAATGGCTTTTATTGTAAATAATTAGGAACTTGAAAATGATTTGAGAACCTGTAAGGAAGAATTCAAGGAGTTTGAAAGGCAGGATGTCAAATACAGGGAAGATTTGAGGCATATGAAACAGAAGCTGAAGAAGCTAGAGGATAAACTTGAAAAGGTACTTGAAATAACTGACTTGAATTATGTTCTTGGCTTCATGAGTACATCTCACTTTGCCTTGCATTCCAGGATTCATTAAAAATTGAGGATGTGTGACAAAGGACTGCGAAAACTCAAAAAATCTTATCCCAAAACTTGAAGAGAAGATTCCAAAGCTTCAAAAGCTTTTGCTAGATGAGGAGAAAGTCCTTGATGAAATGAAAGAGAACTTTAAAGGTAATATGATCTTCTTGGACTCTTATTTAGAAATTTCATTAGGCTGTGGGAATAAAGTAGACATTCCTTATTAAAAATGGATCAATCTTATTTAGTTAGAAATAATGGTTTAATTCTTTTGAGCTCGTGGTGGTTTGCAATCTAGCTAACAGCTTTTTTTTTATTGCTTGATGAGCAGTTGAAACTGAGAAATATCGTTCCGAGCTTTCGAAGGTTCGTGCTGAACTAGAACCTTGGGAGAAAGAGATGATCGTGCATAAGGGAAAACTTGAAGTTGCTCACACTGAACGCAGCCTTCTAACTCAAAAGGTGTGGCCATAATATTGCTATTCACTTGCTAACTAGATTGATAAATTTATGAGATTTTAGCTTATCTTTCTTCCGTCAATATTTTAGTTATTGCACTTTTCCCTTCTCTTTGTTAGGTTCGAATAGGAGTCAATTGCATTGAACTTTTATATATTGAAACTGTTTTTCCTCCATAAAAATAAGTTTAATAAGCCCGTGTCATTAAGCACAGTTGTTTCTGGAAATTTTCATGAGGAGCCAAACATACATTACATGAAACCCAAAGCAACAAGTTAGGTGGCTTAGTTTTATCGCTTATCCTTTTCCTGTGGGTTATGTAATTGTACTGTATCACTGGTAGAAGTCATATGAATATTTATAAGCTGCTATCATGACATTCTTTTGTTCAAAGTTTCTTTGACTCTACTTGTCTGATCGCATTTATTGCAGAGATACATATTCAGCCAGAAAAGATAGTTTGAGACACCTTGTTTTCTCATGATTGAGCTATCAATGAAATTGCATACTTGCAATTGAACAATTCATAGAAAGTTAATTTTGCATTTGTTTCTGCATTTGTATTCTTAGGGAGTTTATTGTGAGCATCTTTGTTAGAGAAGATACAAAAGATGGCTTAATTTGAAAGTTGACTCTTTCAGCATGAAGCTGCTCATACAGCTTTAAAGGACGCTCGAAAAGAGATGGACAGCATATTGGGGAAAACTGAAACTATGAATGCTGCCATTAAGGCTAAGCAAACTGACCTGGAGAAAAACAAGCTTGAAGCATTGAAAGCCCGCAAATTGGAACAGGTTCATGATTCCATGATAATCTGTTGATACAGGGTTTTCCTTTAGGCTAATTTTCTTTTCCAAGTTCTTTTTTCATCATGGAATATGTTGTGAACAAACAATGTTCTGCAGGAATGCATCAAAGAACAAGATGCGCTGGTTCCTCTTGAACAAGCAGCAAGAGAGAAGTTTGCCGAACTGAAGTCGGTGCTCGATTCTGAGAAGAGCCAGGGATCCTCCATTCTTTCAAACTATCTTCTATTAGCTCTTGCTATGTTTTCTAGCTTCAGGGAGTATTAGCTGGTACTCTGTGGTTTTATTTGTTAAAGTGCCGGGATGTGCTTGTACATGTAGTATTATTCTTTATATTTGAATCCATACAACGATATTTTATTTAGATTTGAATCCATTCATTGTTTTCTTCTTTTTTGCTCCTATTATATTTTATTTTGATTTGAATCCATACAATGATAAAGTATAAACATTTGTTTGTTGCAGACCTTCCTTTTCTAGTCATTTAGTTGCATGGTGTGGTGTTTAATACATTAATTTTATCACTGTTTCATATTTTCCTACGATATTTACATTGAAGTTATTCTGTGGTATTTACTTATTTGTCATCTTGCAGCAAAGTATGATGTTGCCATCTCAACTGCATGTCCCGGACTTGATTATATTGTTGTGGAAACCACCGCTGCAGCACAAGCATGTGTTGAACTACTCCGTAGGGAGCAACTTGGTATTGCGACATTCATGATTCTGGTATGAGTTGTCCTCTGAGAAAAATGTACTTAATATGTTCATACCTAAGTGAATAGACTCTCTGAACTGACCTGGCTGATTGTTGTTACCGATCTTAGAATCTAAATGGTGGCTAAAAAATTGTCATCTTATAGTTTACACTGGCCAGTTGAACATTACTATCAATAATTTAGATTTCTTTGGCATGGAATCTGTGAAAGTATTCTTTTTGGATAAAAATTTATGAACTTTGTGCTGTGAGCCAGTGAAATATTTTAATATTTCATATGTTATGTAGTGGATTATAGGTGTGCAGTTGCCATAATGTGGTCACATGTAACATTTTAACTGGGAATTGTCATGTTTAGGATATTGGCTCTTAATTTAATCATGATTTCCATTTCTTCCTGACTCGTGCAGGAGAAGCAGGTTGAACTTTTAGAGAGGTCCAAGGAGAAAGTAAAACCCCCCGAGGGAGTTCCACGTCTCTATGATTTGATCAAAGTTCAAGATGAAAGAATGAAACTTGCTTTCTATGCATCCCTGGGAAACACAGTTGTTGCAAAAGATCTTGATCAGGTAGATAACCATTTCTCCGTCATTAAGCAGACTGATGAATAATTCATTTCATGTACGACATGGTAATGTTTGAATATCCGCTAAAATTTCAGAACTTAGATGATATTTATAGTGGCATATGAGATTTTAGGTAATGCCAGCAGACATATGAGCTCATAGGAAAGTGCAATCCTTTTGATATGGTTGTTATATTAGGAAGCTTGGCATTATTTCAGATAACAACTAATTCATTCTCTCTTCAACTCAGGCAACACGTATAGCTTATGGTGGAAACAGAGAATTTCAACGTGTTGTAACCCTTGATGGTGCTCTTTTTGAAAGATCCGGTACCATGAGTGGTGGAGGAAGCAAGCCGCGTGGTGGTAAGATGGGGACATCTATTCGAGCCAGCAGTGTGTCTAGGGAAACCGTTATTGCTGCCGAGAAGGAGCTTGCTAATATGGTTGATTCATTAAAAGCCATCAGGCAAAAAATTGCTGATGCAGTAAGCCGCTACCAAGCCTCAGAAAAAGTAGTCGCAGAGTTGGAGATGGAGATAGCTAAAAGCCTAAAAGAGGTAGTTCAACACGGTCAATTTTATATAGCTTATCATTTGTTAATTGGAGTCTAGCAATATTTTCTCATGTTCAAAAACAGGTTGACAGCTTCAATTCAGAATATAAATATCTCGAAAAGCAACTTGATTCCCTGGAAGCTGCATCACGGCCAAAGCAAGATGAAATTGATAGACTGGAGGAGCTTAAGAAGATAATTTCTACTGAAGAAAAAGAAATTGATAGACTCATCCAAGGGTCAAAAAAGTTGAAGGAAAAGGTGGGCGAACGTTTGCTAATTTCTTTGAAGCTAGAAACTTTAGGGTCAATTTGGATGGCAATGTGCAAGCTCACGCATCCTATTTATATTAATTGATGCCACATTATTTACTAACTTTATCCTATACTTTTAGGCTTTGGATCTGCAGAATAAAATAGAACATGCTGGCGGTGAAAGGTTGAAAACGCAGAAGGCTAAGGTTGAAAAGATACAATCTGTAAGTTCTGCAGGACACATAATTTATAACTTCCTTTATGCAATATTCATTATTAACATAATCCATGCTTCTAATTTTGTTAGGATATTGACAAGAATAGCACAGAGATCAACCGTCACAAGGTTCAAATAGAGACGGGTGAGAAAATGGTGAAGAAATTAACAAAGGGGATTGAGGAGTCAAAGAAGGAGAAAGAACGAATCATTGAGGGGAAGGATAAGATGCAGGGCGTGTTTAAAGAAATAGAGCAGAAGGCATTTACTGTTCAAGAGAATTATAAGAAAGTGCAGAAGGTTTTAAACTTTCTTCCTCTACCTTTTCCTATTCCTTATGATAATGAAGAAAACAGTTCCTTGCCTCATACCAATGCATGATTTGTTTCTTCTTTTAATAGGTAATTGATGAACATGGAGAAGTACTGGAGAAGTCAAAATCGGAATACGAAAGAGTGAAAAAAGATGTTGATCAATTGCGTGCATCAGAGGTAATATGCAATTTAAGGCTTCTTTTTTATTGCTTAGGCTTATGCTTAAGGGCGAGCAAATTCGGTTGTTTCTCCTTATGTTTGTTTTAACCATATCAATTTGTAATTCTCAGGTCGATGCTGACTTCAAGTTGCAAGACATGAAAAAGACGCATAAGGAGTTAGAAATGAAGGGGAAGGGCTACAAGAAAAAACTCAATGAGTTGGAAACCAGTCTACAAAAGCATATGGAACAGTATGTGTTTCTATGGTTTAAAATTAATCGCTTTTGTAAATGACATTTTATCTTGTCTGTTGCAGGATACAGAAAGATCTTGTAGAGACTGAAAAGCTTCAAGCAACTTTGGCTGGTGAGACCCTGACCGAGGCCTGTGACCTGAAAAGGGCCCTTGAAACGGTGACTTTACTGGAGACACAACTGAAGGAGATGAATCCCAACCTCGATTCAATCTCAGAGTATGGATTTTTGTTCCGTTAATCTTAATATTTCCAAAGAGTGATCTATTTTCCTCCATGGATGTGCACTAAAGCACTTGATATTACAGATATCGACAAAAGGTATCACTGTATAACGAGCGAGTTGAGGATCTTAACACAGCTACTCAACAGCGTGACGATGTAAAGAAGCAGTATGATGAATGGAGAAAGAAAAGGTACGGACATCCCCTGATGTTATTTTTCCCTCTTGTGAATTTTATGTTTTCAGCTGAAACTTTTATAATTATGATGTCTAGGCTGGACGAGTTCATGGCAGGATTCAATGCAATATCTTTGAAGTTAAAGGAAATGTATCAGGTTTGTCTTCGCACCTACCGAAAACTGAGACCGTTATTAGTACAATTACCCTTATCTGCTTCTAACTAACTGCACTGAACAGATGATCACACTTGGAGGGGATGCAGAGCTTGAACTAGTGGACTCTTTGGATCCATTCTCCGAAGGTGTTGTTTTCAGTGTTAGACCCCCAAAGAAGAGCTGGAAGAACATTGCAAACTTATCCGGCGGTGAAAAGGTTGCATCTCTGTCTTGACTGCCTGTTTATGAATGATCAACATGCATGTCACGACTTATCGGTCTGTATCATAATCGAGAATTATGGTTTACATTCATGATACAGCTTGATGGGCTGGGTCGTGACAATGCATGCCGATGCATTGTTCGACATCCCTTTATTCACATACTAGACACAAGTCTAAGATGACTTTGGTGTCGGATATAAGTATATATATGACGTAAATTGTTTATTCTCGTGACTGATTCCAGACTCTCAGCTCGTTAGCTCTTGTTTTCGCTCTTCACCATTACAAGCCAACCCCACTCTATGTCATGGATGAAATCGATGCAGCACTAGGTACATCTTCGACAGATCATACCATTCTTTTCATTTCTTAGGTTCATTTTACATACACTTTCATTGCATCTCCAGACTTCAAGAATGTTTCCATCGTCGGACATTACGTCAAGGATCGGACAAAGGATGCACAGTTTATAATCATAAGGTAAATTCCATTCCTTCCGGTAAATTTCGAGTTTGAATCTTAATATCTATGACTCATATTCATTTACTCGATTTGTTTTCGTATATTGTGACAAAATGCAGCCTCAGGAATAACATGTTCGAGTTGGCCGATCGACTTGTCGGAATCTACAAAACCGATAATTGCACTAAGAGCATCACCATCGATCCCAACAGTTTTGTGGTGGGCGAGCAAGCTGCATGATTCAATGAGATTGATTCCTTTCCTAATCTGTTTATTCCATAATATTAACCAAACTACATCTATTTATATATATATATCATGTATGAACTATGAACTTGTTGACGTAAGTGTTATTGAATTTTATTTTATATTTGATAGAATATTAATTTAATATACTCTATAAATGATTTTTTAAAGTTCATTTATTAATTATATATAGTAATGATTAATTATAAATAGGTTTATTTATTAATTATAAAATTTATTTTTACATTTTTTGTTAAATATAATTAATTGAAATTTATAAAATTAATAATATAAATTTTTTATTTTGTTAAAGGATAGTAAAGTCACTTTAGACTTATTTCTCCCCCATTCATTAACGCTATTTTACCTAACCAAGCACTGAATTACTCATTTTTAGATTTTATTTTTCTGAATAATTAAGTCTTTTAAGAATGTTTTTGAAAGAATTAATTTATTGAGTTAACCAGTTTATATAAAACGATTTTAAACTCTAATATGCTCATTTCTAATTATTTTATTTTTATAAAAAATGTATTATATATGTTAAAGTCAATCAATTTTATAAATAAATGAATTTCTATCTAAAATAATAATACTTACATTAAAAAATAGATTAATCAAATATCATGCATACCTGAATCTTAGAGTTCTGTTACTTTGCAACCACGGATAATCAAAACTAAAACGTAACGTTAGGTATTATTTTGAAGCAAAAAATAATTAGTCGACTAAAACTAAACAAAATCGGTAATCGGAGTATTGAAGGCGTGTTTTATTTTAAAATATTTAAAATCTATTTTTCTATTCATAAATATTTTAATAAATAAATAATGTCAAAAGAGTTAATTATAACTAAAATTGACACTGGTGATCCTGTCTTCTTCTTCACCCACCTTTGGAATTATGGTGAAAGGTGACCCCATTGCTTTTGTCCTAAAGCATTGATATTTTTTTTCACAGGGAGAACTCTCAACCACCTTTTAAGGTTGGATTAAATGAATTTGTTAGATAAAAATTATTAATTTATTAAATTTACCGATCAAATATTAATTTGATCGATATCATTATTATTATAGTATTTAATAAATTATTAATTTTTTAAATAATTTTATGTGATTATAATATAATCTCAATTATTAACAATTCACACACACGTTCATTTAACACATGTTTGAACCCAATTTTTTTTATAGAGAAAACAACCTTAAATATAAATATAATATTTTAGTTTTTTAAAATTTAAATTAAAAATATTTTTAAAATTTCCACCACCAAACCTTAGAATAAAATTTTAATAAATTGTGTAAATTAAAATTTATTTAATCCTATTTATTTGAATATAAATTTTTAAATTTTTAATACATTGTATAAACTAAAATTTGTAGGACTATATTAAAATTTCATAAATATTTATTCAGTTGAGCCAATTCAACTGAATTATTAAAGTTGTAACTGAAAATTTCATTAACCTTTCATCTGTAATTTCTGTTCCTTAATTCTCAGCAAATTTCAGCCTCGGAAAAATTGGTTTGGGGGGGGGGGAATTAGACAATCATCAATGATTTCCCACTTTTTGGACCCATTTGAAGAACAGATTATTCTCTTCATTTCCGTAGTTTCCCCTCTCATTTTCTTGATGTAAAGGAAGAAAAAAAAAGGGCATACTTGTGTCTAAATACACAACCTTGCTTTGAAGATTCAAGGATTTAGCCTACAAAACCATTGTTGTACCCTTCAAAAGCTTTTAGAACATAGAAAACTATGTTTAAACCAAAGAATTTGTAATGTATCCGAGCATCGGTACGTTTTCTTTCCTAAGTTTTTTCATGTATTTAAAGGGTTTTCGAGAGGTTATACTCAATACCTATGCCTGAGTATGTGTAGGATACAGTTCAAGCTAAATAAAGAATCGAAGCAACATAGATAGTAACCGACATTTACGTATGCCGCTTTCTCGATTTAATACATTCCAACCCAACTAGGCACTTTTAGTGTAATAGAACCGAGAAAGGAAAATATAAGCAATACAACAATAGACATTTATACATGGCTATAGAGTTCGTCCCATAAAGTGGCTAATCAAATATTCCTTTACAAACAAGAGACCTTCTACGACGTCCCTAACTGTCGAACAAGTAAACTTCACAAGACCAACTTGGCAGTGAAATATGACTACGAAGCTAAAAAATGTATGCAAATTTATGGTTTCTATGCCATATCGGTCAAACGAGTCCAGCGTGTCTAAAACTATATGTGCCTTGGCAGTGACAAAATATTATAACATCAAAGATAAGTGACAAAGCTTGAAGAATTAACAAGCAACATATCAAAGAAAGCAATCATCAATGTCGAATAGTTCAACATAACACATTAATTTAATATCGAAAGAGCTTCGAATTTCAACGATCACAAAAGCTTTAAGATGTAAATTATCATAAAGAAAGAGTGATCAAACAAATGAGAGAAAATATTCTTATATTCTCCACTATCGACTGTATGTAATCCTTACAAATTATTACCGTTAGAGCTTATTTAAAGACAACATAGTTTTCGGATAAACTAACCACAGAAAGCGCTCCTCTCCGCATTATGACTACTTTTCTCTATTGCTTTAATTCATCTCTCTATCATATCCCAAGATCCTACTTCTTGTTCTTTCTTTGCTTCTTTGGCCCCGGAACCTCCAATCTGCCGACAGGACATCCGGACCGAGCTTGAAAAACGAGCACCGCTCTCCCGTTAATCGGTGCCATCTTCTTTAACTCGGCTTCCAATTCCCTGTGATGATCCGGCGGCAACTCGAAAAGTCCTCTTTTAGCACCGTCTTTAACCAAAGTGTTGGAGTTCTTAATACACTCCTCCGTTTCTAATTGGATGTCGAATTCGGCCCGCCTTCCTAAGACCTTTACAATAAGGGTTCCTGCATTTCCTAGTTGTACACAGAAGCAAAATACAAGTAGCTATGCAGCACAACAAAAGCCTAATCCTATGGATGCATATATCAATGGAGTTCTCATGATTTCCTCTTTAAACATATAAAAGACGGGTTCGATGAATTCGATCATTTTCAAAGATACACACCTTAAAGTTGGGAACAACAAGAATCCACAAGCAGCAATCACAGCAATTAAGATGAACACATCAATGGCGGCAGATCTTGATCCTTCACAAAACAGAATTTCTAAACAACTTGATGAATTGGATGCCTTTTGTTTCTTGGGAAAACTGTTCCTCGATGATGATGATTTGGGGTTCATTGGAAAATCATCTGGATCAAAAGAATTCGCCATGATTGTAGCTGAGGAAGCCTGGTCAACGGAGTTGCAGACTGAGATTGAGATATGGAAATTGACCATTTCAAATCAAACCCAGAATTTTAAATCCAAAAAATCGAAAAGAACAAAAGAAACCCAACGAATGAAAATGAATATCTGTCAATTTTCCTTCAATCCAAACTGTAAATCCAGATCAAACCCACCTCATAAAACCTCAAAAGGCAACAAATTTTCCTCAAGATCAAGTGTTTCTTAGTATCCAAATGAGTAAATTCCTTCAGAAAACGCCCGAGGAATCGAAATTTTCAATCCCAAATTGTGTTTGAGATTGAATGAGGAAGCAGAAGAAGCTTTGCGATTGCAATAATTTATATCAGGAGAGAGAGAGAGAGAGAGAGAGACAGAGAGGAATAGTCTTTTTTAACCTTATACATTGTTAATTCTTGGATAAACTATGTATTTAGTACCCAGACTATCACTTTTGATACATTTTAGTATCTAAACTTTCAATTTTTTTAAAATCACACATAAAGTTTTGTTTTTTGTTTCATTTTAGTACCCACCATTAAAAACTTTAGATTTTATTTCATTTTAGTACCGTTCAAAATTTAATGTTAAGTTTTGAAAAAAATTAAAAGTTTAGGTATTAAAACGAACTAAAACTGATAGTATATGTACTAAATACGTTAAGTTTTTAATGGTGAAGTACTAAAATGAAAAAACTAAACGTTAGGTATGATTTTAAAAAAATTACAAGTTTATGCACTAAAACAGTTAATAGTTTAGGTATTAAATGCATAGTGTACCCCTACTTCTTTAGTGACGAAAATTTCACTACTAATTTTTTTGAGTAAAAACAAATGATTCATCGACTATATTATATTGCTTTGTTAATTCTTTCAACTGTTAAAAGTTATAAAATAATCCCTTAACTATAAGACATTACTTTGTTGAATCTCCCGTTTATTAGAAGTTATAAAATGATCACTCAACTATTCATATATTTCAAGCTCGTCATTTTACGTTAAAAAATTAGCAGCGATCTAAATTGGATATTAATTTGATGATTAGGATACGATAAAATCTAATCCTAGAATCATTTGAATTGTATTTTATAGATTAACTCTTCGTTTATATTATTCCATCAAGCTAATACTTGAAACATTATATCGTCAAGTTAGTGTTTGAAAGTAACAAATGTATCAATAAACATCATGAAAATATGATTTTATCTTATCCCAGTTAGTATATTAACGTCCAGCTCAGATGATCATCAAATTTTTATCGGAAAATGACGGGTTTGGAACATATGAATTATCGGGTGACTGTTTTGTAACTTTTAATAATATGAGACTTCAACAAAATAACATTCTATAATTAAATGACTATTTTATAATTTTTAATAGTCGAGATGCTCGACAAAGTAACACCCTATTATCGGAGATCATTTGTGTAATTTTCCATTTTTTACGATAACCGTATCTTTTTAGATTTCATTTCTTTCCTTCTCTGGTTAAAATTTGCCTATACAAGTTTTAAACAGTCCGACTTTTTTAAAAAAAGTAAATTTGATTTTATTTATTTATTTATAATTAAGTACTGGAATTGTGAATTTATTATAGTAGGATTAATATTTTTTTTTTTTTCATAAATATGTTTTTTTAATTCAGAGACATATTAAAAATTTCTTCATTTATTTTTAAATAAATACATATTTTTAATATTAATTGATACTTAAAAAATTGACGGGGCCAAAGCTCCCTTGAACCCATGATGTTCCGCCACTATTAGGTGTACACTACATCCTGAACTTT